TAAGACTAGTTAAATTAAAATCGGTTAATAAACATAAAAGTTATTGCAAAAAAACAAGAAAAGTGTCCATTTTTTAATTTGTTTATAACTATCACATTTATTGTTAAAATTTTATAAAACCTATGACAAGTTGAGGGTTTTGTCATACTTTAAAAGTGTGCCAAGTGGGCGCTGTAGGTGCAATAGTTTTCGCACAATTCAATTTGTTTATAACGGAAGCTCCAAAAGTTATGAACTTTAAGCCTCTGTACAGGCGTAAATTTCCAACCAAAAATGATTCTGAAAGCGTCATTGTAATCTTAAAGACGTAATTAAGCGACCTATTAAAAAATATCACCGTTTTTTTGACATTAACATTCTCAAATTGTGAATTAAAAAACCGTGCGTTTTTCGCTTATAAACAATTTGAATAAAATTGTTGCTATTTATGCTACCTCACCGAAAATAGATGCAATGGATAGTTGGCAAAAAATACAAATTTAAAAACAAAAAGTACGACCAACAGGAGCCAAGATAAGATTTTTTTTTAAATCGTAGCGCAATTGTTTATAAACATTAAGACTTGGATTTTTCGCAGAATAAAGTTTAAGACGTAAACTACGATTTCCCGTGAATTGCATTGAAAAATGTGGAAAATTAACGACTCACGAGCCCTTTAAAGAGAAGGTACTTGCTAAGTAAAATGTCCGGCGTGGTGGTGAGGGAAGCTCGTCCAAGCTATTGATGGTTAATTTTTCAAACTTAGCAAATAAAATGAAGCCGTCAACGCTTTGGTCACAATATTCAATGTTGCGATCAACGTTGGTTATAAAGAAGGGGATTGATATGAGCAAATATTCAAAGTTACGTGCTTTTTTCAAGAGACAAAATGATATGTACCGAAAAAGTCGCAAGTATTTACAAAGTTGACTGCTTTTTGAATTGTGAAAAATAACATATTTAAAATAACCCCAGGAATCGATAAAGCAATCAATTTTAAGCAAAAAGTATCTTAAGAACATTTTTCGATCAATATTTTCTGAGTTATTGGTGATTGAAAATGTACATTTTTTATTAAAAAAGACGTTTTTCCAGTAGTTTTTCTCGAATAACTCGGAAAATATATATTCAATGAAACAAAACATCACGAAAAAAATTAAGCTTATAGAAAAAGATTGTTTTTTTTTCATTTATGTAGATGCAATGATAATTCCATGTCCACCAGAAACTAAATTGGAAGCATTTAACATATAATATCTAAAAAAAATTTTTTCAAGAAAAATGCACAGAATATTTTTTAAAGTATTTTAAAAATTCTTTAAAATGAACTTGACTAACTCATTAGCATAAAAATTAACAGTTATGATCAAAATAAAACTGTTGATTAGCTTTTTCGGAAAAAAATCAGTAAAAAATCTGATGAATTTTTCATGATTATTTAAAATTAAAGGTAATCCTTCTACAATTTACATTTTTTATGTGTTAACAATATAGTATACAGGTTTAATCGGTTTAGAATACATATTTTTGAAAATATTACGTTTTGATTAATTTTTTTTTTAATTCCAAAAAAATAACATATTTTTGAAAATAACTTCAAAAATAAAAAAGATACGAAAAATATTTTAGAGTTTAGATTTAGATTTTTTTTTTCACAGAATATTTTCATTTTTTTTATTTGTGTAGATAAAAATTAAACAGAGATGTCGCTGCTAGAAGTTTGCAGTTGCCGACGAAGGCATATATTTATAAAAAAATATATGGACGAAGGTCATGTTTGTCAAACCTTTTAACCTCAAAAATCTCAAAAATGCCGCGTTAAAAAATATTCAATTTTAAAGTACTGTTAGCTGCCGAAATTTTTCATAAAATCGTTTTTGGATCGTCTTAATAGCTTAACTTTAAAATTAAGTAAGTTATCGTTAAAACAGTGGTACCTTACCGCTTCAATTTTCGGATCATATCAATATTTTGGTTGTCCACAACTTTGGAGCATTCATAATACATACATAATAAAATAATAATATATATTTTTTAAAATTTGAAATTACGACTTTCTGCACGAAAAAATATGGAGAAATAATTATTTTGAATATTGCATAAATTAAAGTAAATCGCGAGTTATTACGAAAAAATTTTTTTATTTTGCATTGTTTATTGAATTATTATATTTTGTCATTTTTTTTTAAGGGTTAAAACAATGCGATAAATAATAAATTGTAATATAAACAGGTAAAACAATTTAATTTATCCTGTTTGTACTATCAAATCATTTCAAACTGTTAAAAACTATTTTTTTTAATGTTTTTTTTATTAGGGGTAGTTTTTGAAGGGTTGAAATATTGTAATAAATAATTTATAATGCCATAAACCATTGAATAGATTTCTATCTATAATATTGCGCTATAAAAATATTTTAAGGTCAAAGAAACTATTAATTTTATATTTTTATCATTAAGGGTGGTTTTTAAGGGTTGAAACTTTATAAAAACAACATAAATTATAACCTACAATATAAAACAATATTTATTCTATATATTAAGACACGATTTAGTCTATATAACATCTATTTTTATATTTATTTAGTTTTTTAGCAGAAGAGGTGGTTTTCATCCTCTAAAAATAAGAAGCGCATTTAAAGCATGTATAACTTTTTTTCTACAGGGTAAAATAAGCTTGATTCCAAATTTTTATAAAAACCGGATCTATCCGAAAGTATTGGGATGTTTTACCCTATTTCTTCTCTTCGTCCCCAGGACTATTGTAGAATACTGAATGACAGTACCGATATTTGACTTTCAAGGCCTATATCGATGAATAGAGAATTCGACTTCCTATAATATGGTGCAAAAAACACAGGGTGTTTCATTTGAATTTAAAAAGTTATATCCATTTTAAGTTTTCAAAATGCAACGTAAAAAATGGTTTATTTGACCTTGGTACCTATAATTTTCTTCAGGTGATTCTGATAGTGTGTAGTAATGTAGTCTTATGTCCTTTGTGTACTCCGAAAAACAAGTGAAAACTTCCAGAACAAAGAAAGATATAGTGTTTACATTATGAATTTAGTATCATGTTACACAGGCGTGATACAGTATTCAATAATTTACATTTTTACTTTTTTATGTATAGATTCCAAATATTACACAGAATAAAAATGTAGTTGACAGGAAATTTACGATAGCTTTACGTAACTCTTAAGAATTTTTACACTTCCAAAAACTCTTATCTTTATCAAACATTTAATTTAATAATCTACATTGATAATTCCTTGAATATTGTTTAATAACGAATATTTTTAACAAACTACTACTTTTTCTCACGAAACATTATCAACATTGCTCAAAATTGTCAGGAAAATGCGTTTTGAATTTCAGCAATGTCTTTAATAAAAAAAAAAACTCGATTTTTTCATGGCTAGCATACAAACATTTCATCCCCCAAGTTTGTTACAATGTTTTTTGGTTAAAACTTATCACTTCCAGAGTTTTATAACTGCAGCACCGTGATTCATGTGCCACACATTTGTTTTCTTGATAGCGTTAATATGACTAACAACAATTTTAAACCGCAGGTGATTCATTATCCAACGGGCGACGCATGTTTAAAAAAATTCCTTCTCTATTTTTTTTCAATACAACTGTAGCCTCCACGGCTATATTAAGAACCAGTCCAAACCCGATCGCATCAATTTTTAACCGTACGGTATGGAAATACCTTTGTTCTTGCAACAGCGGAATCTTTTATCGCCTCGTTCTTGATAAACGAAAATAATTTTAGCAACAGCAAGGCAAACACATTTTCAACTATCAGATCGAATCGAAATTGCTTTATTGCCTGATATATTGCCAACAAATTTACATAAAGTAACAATAAATCGGTAAATGCAACCTTATGAGAAGTAATACAGCCACAGTCAAAATTAATTTGTTACTTTCGCGGACGGCGTTTGCTATTTGTTATTTTCGAGGACGGTATTTTTCTTTTAAGAACCTTCAACCGTATTTAATCAATGTTTCTAGTTAAACACATTTTTTGTGCAACGAAAGTGCACACGTGGCGGAAATTTTATACGCGGATTTGTGAAATATTCCAAATTAACGTTAAGTAGATAAATACGGTAACTAACAAATAGACCATCTAAATGCAGCTAATTGAACATTTAAACGTAGGAAATTTTAAAGAAATATAGCAATAAACTCTTAATAATAGCTCTATATTTTAACATGAACATTATTATGAAGATTTATTTGACGTGTATTCTAAAAAGATAATTGTTTATTTATTTTTTTTCCTCCAAAGTTGAATACCCTACCAAAGACAAAAAAAAACAATGTAAATTGTTAACAAAAAGCAGCTGTGTCGAAATTATTACGCTTCATTGAAACTGGTGAAAGGGAGAAAATAAAACTATGACCATGAGAAATAGATAAAAAAAAACGCTGTACAATGTACAACACAAACAGTGGGTCGTATTTGATTATTACTAACTAAATGTTGTTAATTTGGTATTTATCAGTAGCATGTTCTGTAACTTGTTTTCTAATAACAATTTATTCCGCCCCAGGACAAATTCAGAACTTTACTTGTAAATACAAATACTAACATGCAATGTCAAAGGATAATGCTGTAAAAAATGATTTTTGTACCCACACGTTTCCAAAGTTGAACTTTAATTATTTAATTAGCCACAAATAAAAATAATGCATTTGTTAGTTCAAGTTAGGTGTAACTGACAATGTTGTTCATTGATGTAAGCACTATAATTTACGACTATTTTTTTCAATTACAATTATTTTACGGAATAAACAACTTGTGCTTTGTTTTTATTTACGTCAAAGTCATTAATCATAAAGCGTAACACTACGGATCAAACTGTTTTAATCAAATTGTCACTGCAAGTACAGCGTAGGAAACCCCTTGCCATCTGTCAGGTAAAAGTTAGGTTATGTTGCACAACAATCCGAGTCAACAAACAAAAATTCCAGCAAACTATTGTATCGGAGAAGTATCTAACTCACCTTTCAGTGCAATTTCTCGTTATCTAACAGAACAAACTCACTGTCCGCGACACACTACGTTTCACTGCGGTTACTAGAACGTATATAACCTTACGGATTATCACGCTATTATTTCGATCCCGTATTATCGTCCGTGCGGGTGGATAACGTATTGATTAATCGAGTCGTCGTTGGGGATTGTCACATGTTTTACTACTGAGTAGAACAGGCGACGTGATTCTAAGACGATCAAGGTAGCAGTGAATCACCGACAATCGCTAACTGTAGGAAAAGCGAAAGTAACCGTCGTAACCGCGAGTACCGTGACTTGAGCGAGCATCTAGCCTGACTGTTCCCCCTGGCGGAGTGGGGGGAAATCAACAGAGGAGGATTGGCAGGAGAGCAGGAGCAGCGGAAGTGCAGTTTAGGAACTTTTTGGAAAGTTTTAGTTTTGTTTTTAATTATTTATAATAGGCAGATGCTTTGGATGTGTTTTATCCTTTTCTAATTACGACAAATCAAAAGACAAAAGAGATATAACGAGAGCTTCTAGATGTTAATATCAAACTTGCCTAAAATTATCAAGTATTGCCAAACGAAATCTCCATAACAAGGTATCATATTGGAAATAATGAATAAACAGGCAAAAAAATACTATTATAATAATAATAACAGTGTTAATATAGTATTTATTTCTAGTGATATCGATTAAAAATACAAATTATACATTTTTGCTTGCATCCTTGTGTTGACCACGAATATATTATTCGAGAGTTAAGTCGGTCACGGTTATTTTTTTACAACTTTGTAACACATATCCCACAAGATGTTTAAATTGGTATGTAAATACACAATTAAATTTTGAGTTATTTTAATTTTCGTTTAATTATTGTGAATTAAAAAAAATTCAATTAAGTAAAACTATGTAAATATGTACTACTTCTCTATTTTCATCAGCTATGTTAATACTTAGAAAATTTAATAAAAACATGGGAAAACACGGAAATATAATAACGCAGTTTTATTGGTTTTCCCTTTTTATATCGCTTCAATTTTACTTTGATCTTTAAGTAAAGCGTAAAATGAAAAAAAGAGCTGTAATTAGCAGGTAGGTACAATTTTTCTTTTACACTAATTATTTCGAAACGAAAAAAATTAAAAGGTGATGTAATCAAAATAAATTGAAATTATTAAGTGCAATTACTAGTCCCTACAAATAATTTCCTGTCGTTTCGTAGAATTTAATTTTTTTGACATAATTTCACATTCAATTGCCTACTGCAATAATACCCCAGTCAAATTAGAATTTGAACGAGAAAAAAATATTAGTAGATATTTTATTGCACTTGTACTTTAAAATTATAATTTTTGAAAAAAAACTAAATTGCAAATTGATAAATGTAAACTAATTGTTTAAAAATAAAGAGTATTAACTTTAAAAATTTACTTTGGACGTCCTAACCAACTGATTTAAATTTTTCAAAAACCATTTGAAAGATTGGGCGGTGTTTTCTGCGAAAATTTTGTTCAAGTATCTAGATGCTTTATTTGAGGCTGTGCAACATTTTGAAAATTGGAAAGTTTTTTTCAAACTTTTTTCATAAAATTTATTTTGCGAAAACTATGGAATCGATTTTAATGAAATTTGGTGTTATTTTATTATACTATGAAGTTTTTTTTTACCAAAATGAATATCTCGGCTTCTATTCATCGTAGAAACTTCTTTTTTTTTTAAACTGGGGTAGCTCGACGATATTTACGAATTCGTAGAATAGCCCTGAACCAGATATGTGCTTGAACACCAGAAAAAATGCATCTTATACTTATTTTTTTTTTTAATTTACAAAAATGTCACAAAAATTATTGTTAAACGAAATATTAATAAAAATTTCAATTTCGGAATTATTTTACTATTATTAAATAAATAAATGAAGCTATCGTTCATATAAAAAGTTATTTTTGTTCATATTAGGCCAAAGAAAACTTATTTTTTCAATATTTTGTTAGTTATTTAATTACGATTTAAATGTAAAATTAAAGTAAAAATTCACAAATTATTTTCAATTATTTTTTGTTAAAAAAATTAAAAAAGAAAAAAGCATTTGAATTTATTGCAAAATTCTCAAAATTAAAAAATATTAATAAAAATAATACGGTCGATAAAATTACAATTCTTGAACATTTTAAAAAAAAATAACTTTAAATGAACGATAGCTTCATTTATTTATTTAATAATAGTAAAATAATTCCGAAATTTAAATTTTAATTAATATTTCGTTTAACAATAATTTTTGACATTTTTGTAAATTAAAAAAAATTCAGTATAAAAGATGCCTGGGGTTCAGGGTTATTCTACGAATTCGTAAATATGCCCATTGTTATTTTCGGTGAGGTAGCATAAATAGCAACAATTTTATTCAAATTGTTTATAAGCGAAAAACACACGGATTTTTAATGCACAATTTGAGAATGTTAATGTGAAAAAACCAATAATATTTTTTAATAGGTCGCTTAATTACGTCTTTAAGATTACAATGAAGCTTTCAGAATCGTGTTTGGTTGAAAATTAACGCCTGTACAGAGGCTTAAAGCTCATAACTTTTGGAGCGTCCGTTATAAACAAACTGAATTGTGCGAAAACTATTGCACCTACAGCGCCCACTTTTGGCACACTTTTAAAGTATCACAAAACCCTCAACTTGTCATAGGTTTTATAAAATTTTGACAATAAATGCGATAGTTATAAATAAATTAAAAACTTTTCTTGTTTTTTTGCAATACATTTTTTGTTTATTAACCGATTTTAATTTAACAAGTCTCATTTTGTAGATAATTTTATTCCCTACAAGCTGTCTGTGAGTCACTTTTCGCTAAAACTGATAGTTTTCCCTGCAAAGTGAAAAAACTGTTTTCCTCACTTAAATAATAGCTAATAAAATTTTTTGACTCACGAGATGAGAGATGTCTTGTATTATCCATTATACAATTTTACAATAACTTCGCGGATAGGACTCTTTTCGAGTTTCTCTTTTATTTTCGCTAATTTTCCTGGTGTAATTAGGAATCTCGTCAGTGGTATATATTTTGATGTAAAAATTCTTTAAAAATAAAATATATAGGTACTGAAGACGTTAAAACTATTTGCTTTAGAGGAAAACGAGAATTAATTTACTTCCCAGCTAATATGAACTGAAGACAATGAAAAACATAACCCACTTACAAAGTAGGCTCCGATATTTATTTGTTGGTAACAATTGAAACATCTGTCAAAGTCTGTTTGGCCGTTTTAATTAAATTACAGTACAGTTTTGGCAATTTTTTATCAATTAGAACACTGATCCTATTTAAAAAAAAATTATAGACTTTTTTTACTATAAAAACTGAGAGAACGCGAATACATCTTAAGGACAGGAAAATTTCATTGAAAAAAGTTGCCGATTACGTAACGTGGTGACAAAAACAACACGAAAACAAATTCGATTGGAAATCTCCCAAGAGCATACTAGGTCGTTATAACAATTAAAATGTTACGACTATTTATTGTATTTTATAATTGTTGAATAACAGTTGAATAAATTATCGCGAGACTTACATAACGCGCCGTAATGAAATAACAAAGGAACATAATAGTCGTTGAACAAAATCGGTCGTCGTCCGTCACTTTCATCGCTTTCTTTGGCTGTTGAACTCGGGCTTTCGTTTTCACTTGGTAGCCTCGGGTCAAACGTGTAGCAGGTTACGTTTCACTGCGAGGAAGTGCATCTGAAGCGGTCCTACGAGGGACGTACGGAAGTTAGTTAAAATAGCAATAATTGATGAAAAAAAAGGCAAAATATTCAAGTTTTTTTGGATAATTTTTTAAAAATATTTTGCTCCGAGGGCATTCTAATTTTGGTAAAAAACCTTTGGAGTATAATACAACAACAAACCAAATTTCATTAAAATCGGTTCGATAGTTTTCCCAAAACAATTTTTTGAAAAAAATTGTTCGAACCTCCATTATTAGTGCAACCTAAAATATCCAAAAAACTTGATTATTTTGCCTTTTTTCATCAATTATTGCTATTTTGCAACATCGGTAATAAATTTAAACATTTTTAACTTACGGTATATTGTGCAAAATTCAATTCTAAAACTTTTTTTTCCTCTTCAATATTCTTCCTAATTGCATAGGTTTCAAGATATAAGTAAAAAACTCAGATAGAATAGATATTTTCAAAATTTTTTAAAACATTTTTGCAATTTTGTAAATGTTCCGGACCTCGCCCAGATCTAGGGATCTACACTTTTATTATGTGAGTTATACTGAAGGTAATCCAGAACAAATTTGCTTGCCCCCTCTCACATCCACCTCAAAACAGATCCGCCTGGTCTATAATATCTCTTTACCTTTTACATGTTGTTAGGTATACAGTGAACTATACTAGTGAATTGGGGTTTTTGGTGCTTGTCGATGCTTCGAATTGACAAATTTGAAAATTAGTGACGTACAGGACGTTGGCAGATACCTACTTGTTTCAATACCTTACAGTCACTAGTGCAATGAAGATCCACTTTTTCTAGTAAATATAGTTCAATAAAGTTGTTTATTGCATGAAAACAAAAACTTCTACAGTAGAAAATAGTATACTGTGTAACGAGTGGGGAAAAGTTGCCAATAGAAATAAAATTAGTACTATATGTTTTTAAAGTCATTATCAAACAACCCTCGTAAGTCACTTTCTCTCTTCGGATATCAGAACAGGAAATGACCATCTCTTGGTTTGAAATAATGGCTTATTAGCATAACGAAAAAATACATAATAGAATTACATGTCGCGTGTGCATATATTTGTGCTATGACGTAAAAGTTCGATGGACCATTTATCAACAGTATTGGTTGTTGGTTTATACGCGAAAATATCATTTTTTATACGTGTTTTGTCGCAAATATTATTAATTAAAACGATATAATGGTGAAGTCCTGCCAGTACTGCTTGTCCATTATTCAAAAACCAATTATCCTGAAGAACCGTCTTAAATTACAGACAATTAATGTCACTTTAATGAAAATCGGCCTTGACTTGAGCGTGTGACATGAGCAAAATTCGAACAGTGAATATAAATTGCGGATGGACGTCATCATTAGCATAATTAGTTGGGTCTTGACGTAACATCGCAATTTTTTTAGACGTGTATGGCAAATATTTATCTGATTTCCGAGAAAGAATCGACTTGATGGATGTATTTACACGAAAATTAGAAATGATCGCAGAATAGGTACGGTTCAATTAGACTAAGGTCTTAGGAAAAGCAACAAACAAGTTTTGTTTTTAACAAAACAGTCTAAAGTTTCTAACTTAATAATTCTCGGCTCTTTCTTGGCCACTGAATGCCTTTATTATAATATGCCTGTGATTACCTGTCTACCTACGTGCATTACAACACATAGAAATCAAATATCATTCAAACTGATGGTGCTCAATAAGGAAATAAACAGGGAGATAGAATAATTACGTACGTAATAGGCAATAAATGTCTGAAAAAAATGGAAATAATAGCTGCAATGCGTAACTAGCGGAAGGATGGAAGGTTAGGATTACCTTCGACACAAGTCGATTTGTTATATTGCCATTGACGGTAACTTTATATGTTAGACAAGTCGCTTAAATAGAAAGAAAACATAAAATAACCACCTGAAAAATGAAAAACTGTCGGCCGATTCTCATTATTTTTTGACACATAACCTAAAAATACACAACAAAATATTTATCTCTAATTTGAATGGAATATTTGATCACATAAGGCGCATTCTTTCAGTCATGATTATTATGTTGTAATCTGAAAGTAGAGCAGCTGATTGGTTGAATTTAAAAAAAAGATGGCGGTTTTTTAATTCAGCCAATCAGCTGCTCTGATTTCGGATTATAAGGCAAGTTCGCTATGAACATCTACATAAATACTCTAGCCCTAGATAGAACTTAGCTAGAAAGATAAAATTTCATTGGGATTCTGCATACTCCATGACAATTTTCAAGACGTTTTGATACATTAATATTCTTATTATTACGTCAACATTATTTTAATATTTTAGAAGTGTTTAGTTTAAAATGTGCCATACTCTGCCTTTCAAATATCTGTACAGCTATTTATAACAATTGTCTCAGTTTGATCAAGTTGATCAACAAAATTACAGATAAATTTTCAAAAGTTTTAGATCCTCTTTGACAACATAACCAAACACTATTCTCTAAACTGTAACTACTTATTTATATTTAGTGCTTTATTATAAATTCTGACAACAGCGCGATACATGACAGTTGACAGTTTAATTCGGTTTAATTTTGATATTTGATTTGAATGGACAGACACAGTACATATATAAAAAGGCAGTGGTGGCTAATGAAAATTCAAGTGCTTGTATTTTGGCTAGAATCACAAGACAAAGATAATTTTCATAGTGAAAAAATTTCAGAAGAAAATTAAATTAGGGGTTGCCGACCCTGATATCTCAAAAAGGGTTGCGTGTATATTCACAAAATATTTTTTATCGTAACCAAATGATCAATATAAACAGTAGTAAGTATTCTGTTTATTTTTCTAAAAATGTTTATTTTTTGTAAAGTTACAGAATTATGAAGTTTGAAAAATAGAATATTGATATCAAATTAAAATTTAAATAGGTATAACACCAATAGAAATTTAATTTTGTCAAAAATGAAAAGAAAATGGCTATTTGTATCTATGATGGAATATGAAAAAAAAAATTTTACACAAATAAACGCAATCCTTTTCGAGATCTCAGGATCGGCAACCCTTAAAATTTTTATTTCGATAATGTTTGAAATTTTTTTCTAATGAATGTTCTTTTTGTGAACATAGAAATTATCTCCTAAAGATCTCCAAAATTTCATTAGTCGCTACTAGAAAAGAGACAGATAATAATAAATGCTGGAAGATTAAACTTGGTTCAACTTCTTGCAGAAATAATAAAAAAATAATCGTTTTTCAATCAGACGCTCAACCTGATAATGCAAAACGTCTTTTCCATAGTTTTTAAAACAAAAAAACCAGTTTCGTTTCCAAAGATCAAAGCCTCACCTTTACTGAGGTTGATTTAAAAAAGAGCATATAAATATATTTGCCTGATATTGTGCGTGACATTCCAGAAATGGACTGTTAGTTAATTAAAATGTAATAAAATAATACATAAAAATATAGAGCTTAGTTTTCCGTGTCTTCTAAGCAGTTGTAAATAATACTCGTACATTTTTGTAAAATGTAAATCAGGGGTATAAATACCTATATGCAGTATTATGAAGTATGTAAAAATATAAAAGCTCCTTTTTATTCAAACTTTTTTCCTTTAAAAAGGGATGAAGCTATCACAATTTTTGTGATTTTTAAAGTAACTATCATTATTTCATCTTCAGCTGATCTACTACTTCTTATAATCCCTGTTTAATTAAAAGGAATTTTTCCAAATACCGTACACGAATTAATAGCATCTACTATCGAAAATAATTCGTCATTGAATGATTTCCCACCGAGTTACACAATTATGAATGTTCTATTAAATTTCCCATATTTATTTCTCTAACATCTGAAAAATCTAGGCATGGAAACTCTTTTTTTTTTCTGACGCAGGTAGATGACAGATGTTGCATTAGTTGCTGAACATATAGAGCAAATACTACCTATTAATACACTCTTACTGGAAATGATAATGTCCTAGACGTAATTATCAGTGCTTTGTCTGTATTAAAACTTTTCCGTCATTTTTTTTATAGATATCCACAAAATTAAGTAATAACACTATTTGGTAGCCGTTAAACAAAAGCCACATTGTTCTATTTGTATTGTACTTGATAAAACCCTTAGTTTTGTTTTAGATTGTTTTAATCTCAAAATATGTGTTGTATATATAAAAAAATTCATATAAACCCTGTTCGATTATGTCAAACTCGAAAGTGGACTACTACAAAGCTTAATATGGTGTTTTAGAAAAGGTATTTTAGAACTACAGTTGTTAGGAAATCCTTTAAAAAAAGGTCGCTGAACTAGTTGAACTTCAATCAACCTTATACGTAATTATATTTAAAAAAAATAATTATTAATTACAGTCCTTGAACGATTATGGTTCAATGAAGAAAGAATGGTTATAGTTGAATGAGGAAAGATCAATTAAAAAGCTATACTAAACCGTTATCAATATCTTACTTTTGCTATTTATAAAAAAACATTGGTAAGTTCAGGAATATTACGAAATAAAAGCTTGAGTACTTACCTGAGCCTCAATGAACTACAAAGGTTTACTATGATTAGGTACCAGAAAAATCATTTAGTAGAAAATGCCAAGTTTTTATTAAATATATTAAATTTCACTCAGGCTTCGCTTTTAACAAATTCTGATTTACATTTTCAGGCACAACTTTTGCAACCTTCCTCAGTTCCTTAACGAAAGTCTTAGGACACTGCATCTCGGTCCAACTTATAGGTACCATTCGATGCCCGTGTTCCGAATGCGCTATTACAACACCTAGCTCGTTTTCCGCGGTCGTCAGCTGGTAAGTATGGGCCTCGGTGATAGGCAACTAGAAAAACGTGTATTACACTCGAGATTTTGCATAGTGTTTAGAACTTACCACCCTAGCTAGTATTATATCGCCCGGCCTGAAGCTCTTATATATCTCGACTTTGTCTTTGTCAGTCGCCCTAACGTCTTCCCTACGTATGACGGCTCTGAATGGTCGTCGCAGGACGGTGTTTCCCACACACTTTATGAAGCATTTGCAGTACTGGTGGGTTATTATGTTCACTTGTGCGGTAACTATGTCCCCCTGTCCAGGTACCACCGTTTGTTCGCCCTTGCTGTGAACTTCAATTACCTTCAATCCGTCTTTTTCGACAATGTCTACGTAACCAGCTAGTTGGGAGTATATGTAGCCTTGGCGTTCGTATGTACCTTGTCCAGATGTGTGTACTTTGTCGCAAAGGCACAGTCTCTGACCCGGAAGGCAAATCAAGGGGGAATCCTTCATTCTCAAACTACTGATTAACACACACAAAGATACTAGAACTTTGTGTAAATCACAGAAACGTTATACGAAAACTTGTGCAAAGAACGTGCGTTTTATTTCAAAAAGTGCAAAATTACCAGGCACATAGTTTACAATTCTTCGGTTTTTAGGTTACGACAACCCTAGATAAATGATACTATAGATAGGAAACTTGAACAGATTTCGTGGTCATTAACAACGCTAACTGTTGACACTTTCTTCAACTTCTATTGCTTTCCTTTTCTAGGAATTATCGGTAATACAGTGAGTTAAATTACCTCTAGCCAGTAAAAGATGCAAGCGCCATCTAGTTGTACGCTCTATAACTATATACCTACCTACTCAATATTTGTTTTAGGTATTCTGCCGCCGCTAAATTTAAAATTACATAACAAATCTCACCCTACACAGATTACTCAGAAATTGATTTTGTAAAATAATTTTCACGTAGATATTTTTTTTTGTCACCATGAGAAAATAAGTACATTTGATAAAAAGCATTAAAATCACTCAAGCATTAAAGACACTTTTAAATGCTCTAATAGTCTTCCTACTTAAAATAAGAAATAATTTTGATACTGTAACTTTTTAAAATGTTTGTTGAAAAAATTTCAAATTTCAGTACATATTTTGAAAAAAAAGAGTGAAAATGATTATAGAGTTTCAGTGCTTTCTATATTGTATTAGCTTTCACGGCGAATAAAAAAATATTACATGTAAATAATTTTACTAAACCAATCTTTGATTAATTCTTGTAATAGAGATTTATTATGCAACTTTAAATTTTTCGTTGTGTTGATATCCATAAAAAAAACTACCTACCTCTGATCACATTTTTTATTAAAAAAAACAAAAAAACAAAACATTTTATTATTAATAAAAAAATGTGATTATATGATGATCAGACATTATTATGTTATATAAATAAATGTGAATGAAATATCTAATAAAACACACTAAAAACACAAATAAAACACACACCAGCACTCGCCAAACCTAACCAACAATAAACATAAACAAAATGAATGACATGAAATGATTCATAATTGCAATTGTCAAAATTTATTCTACAAAATCTTTGTGGCGACATCTATAGACTCTTTCCCCAACTTGTATATTCATCTCAAGTCACGTGGTTCCCAGTGTCCCCATATTTTCAAGTATAAGTTCTCGGGCCCTGACGACAACAGCGGCAACAGCGCCCTCCTGTTGTTGTTACAACAATTACTTTTGAAATTGGTGACAGAAATCGTTTTTTTTTAGTACAAAGAGGGCAGTTTCATAAAAAAAATGTTTACAAAATCACGACACGTTAGAAGCCTAGATAAATGATGTTAGAAGAAGACGGAGAAACATAAACTTTTACGTGTACATGGTGTCACAAAAATAAATGACGGGAAAAAGTAGTAAACAAACAAGTAATAAAAAATTAAAATTGTATTATAAAAAGTAGATGTGTTACATTTCTTGATTTTCTTGTGCTTCTAGTTTGATCATACTCTGTTACCTTTAAGTGTTGAATTTGCATCTAAATAAATAATGATTGAGGTAAGAAATGAATAGTAATGTTAGTATAAACTTAATTTTTATCAGTTCAAGAAGTTAAAAGTGGTTAAATTAGTATTTTTATTATCCTGCCCAACTCAAAGTTCTAGCCTAGCAAAACAGTTATAAAATACTAAACATTTCATATTATTATTAGTAACAATTTAAAAGTCCTTTCAATATTAAAATTTTGTAGATCGATGACGAACTAGCATGTTACATTCATGGTATTGTCAGTTCTGATTCAGATAGTGACTGTGACGTTTCAAAAGAACTTGATGAAGTGTATAATTTGTTGAAGCCGCCTCCATACGATTATGAATCGATAAAAAACAAGATTGTCACTATTTCGTCGCAAAACACAACTGCGTGCCAAAATGAGTTAATGAATTTACAAAACGACGATGAAATTGAAAGAATCGAATTTGTAAACGATGTAACGTCAAAAACAAAGAAGGATAAGAATGCGGTACAAAAGTTAAATGGAGCTCAAAATATCGAGATTAAATTTCGCAATAAGAAAACGAATGTAGGTAAAAGAATTGTAGATTTATACGCCCAGGTTGCATGTAGTAAATCTGAAGCCGATTCAAGTTTACTGTCAAAATCCAAAGCAAAATCGAAAACCAGTAAACGTTCACAGAAAAAAGAAAAATCTAAATATTCCACTGCTAGAACTTATAAACAAAGAAATATCGTACTTCATGAGGAAAAGCACATTGGTTTAAATATAAGAACGAGGGAAGAATTCGTAAAGGAATTTCCCAGTGTCGATGAAGTGTACAAAGATAGGTGTCGTAGCAAGAGGAAAATTTTCAAAACGCAGCCTAACACGTTGAGTGTCAAACAGAGGAAAAAAAGAGATTCAGTCCCATGGAAAAGGACAAAATTGGGATCAATGTTAGGAGAGAACAACACAATAACGAATCTCATGATGTATTTGAAACTGCTAAGAAAAGAAAAATTAGGAGAAAGTTGAAACAGTCGATTAAGATTCCTCTAAGAAAAGATCTACTAGAAAAAGCCGGTGTTACCAATCATATTATACTGTGGGCGCAGGGTAAAAAACTCGCCAAAATTTGCGTACCTATTTATATATATACATAGTTACGATTACTAATTATGTATTTAAAACAGTATTAAACTGTGTTTAAAACTGTAAACTGTCTTTATTTGTATTTACTTACATGCCCTTAGCTTTTATGTTTTATTAATAATTATACTTCATCTATCAATAGAAACGGAAAAATATTAAAATAATTTTGCATTAAAAGCGCCTAAATAAGTTCCCTTGGTAGTCAAAATGATAATTCAGGGCGTTAATATCAAACCACCTTAAGAAAAATTAGATTGAGATCAAAGTCTTGTTTAACGTGTATAATAGTTGAACAAATAGTTTTTTGACCCCACAAATCATATTAAACGTTTTGATTTCTGGTAACGTGATTAAATAGAATTCCAGTAGAAGCAAATAATGAAATGTATAATTTTTCCTGAATATATTCACTCAGTTTTCACTGTAATCCATCAGTTTTTAGTAACAAAATATCTCTATATCATAAAAACAGTAAAAAAAATGAGTTGCTGGTCAAACCAAGCAAAGGAATAAAAAATCATGAAGATACAGTAATATTTTATAAAGATAATATAGTGAGTAGCATTAAAAAATACAATAGAAAATTTTCCAATTCTTGACACATTCAATAGTTTTAACAATAAATATAGCAAAAACATTGTAACTTTACACAATTTTTGTATAAAAACGTACCTACTATTAATAGAACATTAGAAAAAAGAAGTTTTACTTACCTAGCTCCAAAAATATTTAACATTCTTCGAAATGAATATTATAAAATAATTAATTTCATCAAATCAACCCTCTAGTCTAGAAGATACGCCATTATTCTATGGCTAGAAATTGGCCTCAATGATTTGGGATCGAGGGGGATTATCCCTCTTTATCCTGCCTCATCTCGTGAGTCTAGAAGATAATACACAATGTAGTTGAACAGTTATACTTTTTAGTGTTGTTTAACCTAAGTGCAGGTTTTTCTTTATAGGTCTCTTTTTATGTTTGATTTACCTATAACGCTGAATTATTTATAATTATTGTTTAATAAGTAATAATTTACTTAATCACTTATACGTAACGATGAGTGAAAAATTTCTTGAAACTTGAAACAAATGAGGCGCCCTCTAAAGAGTAGATGTTTAAACTGTCATAATTAGTTTTGCGTATACGCACTAGATGTCACCCTAGTAAATTTTGAAATTGCTTTAAAATCACATACTAAGTATGTGTTTAAAATTCATTTGGGTGGGGTTTAATTGAAGACCATGAAACAAAAGGCTTTTTTTCGCGACTGAATATTGGTGAATATCTGACTTGTAGTTACTATTTCCATCTCTTTTGATCTTAGTTGTCATATGATAGTTTAAATCTCTTCACTCACTCATACTACACATACCACAACATACAACTTCACTCGCGAAAAAAAGCCTAAAATGAATAAACATTTTTCAATGAAATCATCAATACAACTTTTAATATTACTAGATAACTAAAGCGTATTATACAGGGAGTCCCGAAATTCATTCAACAAAATTTGGTCATAGATTCTTAAGACTTTAGGGGACCCGTATTTTTTCTTTTTGCCAACTGGCCTCCTCTTTCGGAGTTACAGCCCCCTGAAATCTTGAAGACAAAAAGTTTCTAAATTTAATGGCTTTTATAAAAAAGATTTGGCAAAAATAAAAAATACGAGCCCTAAATTTGTCTTAAGAATCTGTGACCAAATTTTGTTGCATGAATTTCGGGACACCCTGTATATTCTTGCGAAAGTTACTCAGTACACTTTGCTTATACATTTATTAGTTTTATGATGGTTGTTTTTCAATTTCAAAAAACAACGAAAAATATATAAACGGCCGGGCCAATCCGTGGTATTTATGTATAATTTTTTTATTTTGGCGGAATAGTTTCGCTGAACCTCAATGATAGCAAATCTAATTACTTTTTCAGGTAGCCGTGACAAAAAAATGTAAACCAGCCTACTCTTTATTTTATTGTTTTATTCAATATTTAAAAAACAATAAATCGGATATATATAATAAAATCTGTCTTTCTAAAAATGTTAAAAAACAGGGCGGTCGATTTAAAAAATCTACCGATAAAGCCGTATCTCTACAAATAAAGTAGGTGTTGGAAATTAAAGCACGTCATTGAAAAGAAAATAATAAAAATACTATAAAATCTTTTGTTAAAAGGTATTTTTTAATCAAACTTATGGTTTACTCTGTACACAAGTGTTTCGACACATTTGCCCAACCTGTATAACAAAATCCAATGTAACATGTTTTTTACGAGTAGCTACTCTGTACTGATAACATTAAATTAAATATATGCAAAAAAGTTCATAAACACCGATTTTACCTTGCAAAAAATGCAAACATGTTGAGAACTGCTGAAGTCGTTAGGGAATGACACGTCATGTTTTCACAATACCATCACAGTATGTGTTCCAAGCGTTGTTACTGATGTGTATAATTCTAGCAGTACATGGTGCACAGCAAAAGAGAAAACAATCAGTGCACACTTGTTCTGCAGTATAGCATTTTGCCTACAATCAATGTATACTAGACTCGGCCAAAAAAATTGACTATTTTTTTTTGAAAGATATATCGAGAATATCATTCAGAATGACGAAAAAAAATATCGTGAGAGTTTTGAGCCCTTAATATTAGTTTTAAGAGGTCTATCATCGCTAGTTTTGATTTTTTATTCCTGATGCCATTTTTGTGTCAAAACTGCCAAGCCATCAAGGTAAAAAAATTTGTCTACATATATTTTTTAAGGAAATTGAATGCCCTACAAAAAAGGTCAGATTGAAAATTGTAAATAACGAATAAATTACTATCTGAAAAAGAACAATACAGAATTTCAAAGGAAATTTAATGCTCTACAAAAAAGACATTTTTGCATAAATTTACTCCTTCATAAGTTATTCACGATTGAAGTTGAAGTAAAAATTAAATTTTTGTTTTTTTTTGGTTTTGGACCCAATTTTTTTCACTCAATGGAACAAACTGATATTATATATCATCGACAATTATTATTCTTTCAATATAATCACCAAGAATATCCAAAATTCATAATATATTCAAATTTATTCTCGCTCAATAGCTATTTTTTCTACAAGAACGTAGTTTTACCGTCTCAAAATAATTTTAAAAATAACAATTATGTAGTTTTACTATTGAAAATTATTTATTTACAATATTGTGTACATTTATATGAAGGAAAAATCAGATTATGGCTGATAAAAATATTCAAGGTCATTTTCACTAAGTGGGCATTAATAATAGACGTTGCGGTTATTAAGGAGAAGAGAGAGTATTTTCACTCGTCATAGTGCTTTAGTCTATATTTTTTCTTTATCTGATTGGTATTTGTTTTCACTTTCATGGCAATCTTTGACCTGCTTATTATAATTTTTAGTTCTGATTTTTCGAAGTTTGGCGCCACATAACAAAACACTCAATAGACATTTGTCGTTCAAATTTGGAATATGGGTATTTTGATGGGTGTTGAATAGCCTGGTAATATTATTTTTTTGATGAAAAAATGCCTAATACCACTTTCTGGAAAAATGACCCTTTTAAAAAATCGTAGTAGGCCAGGCTTTTATGACATCAATAAAATTATTAGTAGAATATAGCCTCCTTTCAGGGTACTATTTGTAAAAAAAAGGCTTGCGGAAAGTCCACAGCCTTCTCACATTTCCAGAGGTGTTAACCTGAAAAACGGGACCCACTGTATATTAATGAATATATTATAAATAAATAACCTTCAGTAGTAAAACTATATGATTGTTATTTTTTAAATTATTTTGAAACAGAAAAACTATGTTCTTGTAGAACTACGTTATTGAGCGAGAATGAATTTGAATATATTATGAATTTTAGATATTTTTGGTGATTATATTGATCGAACAATTATTGTCGATGAGGTATAATATCAATTTGTTCCATCGAGTGAAAAAAATTGGGTCCAAAACTAAAAAAAACAAAAATTTAATTTTTCTTCAATCGTGAATAACTTTTGAAGGAGTAAATTTATGCAAAAATGTTAAGAGACCTTTTTTGTAGAGCATTAAATTTCCTTTGAAAATGTGTATTGTTCCTTTTCAGATATTAATTTGTTCATTATTTACAAAATTCCAAAATTAAAAAGTCAAAAAAAAAATAGTCGATTTTTTACTACTAGTCGATACTAATGGCTTGTCCATCGATTCATGACTGCTGTAATTATGCACCAGTGTAATAAGACACTATCTAATAATAAAAATAAGACTTGACATGGGGGACCACCTAGCCGGGTATCTTGGCCGATAGATTTCGATCGGCCGAGGTAAGTAACACGGACGCAGGCTGGAACTTGGATGGGTGACCTAGGGCAGGCTCGGGATGTGGCTGTGGCAGCCTACCAGAGACCTGGGTCGCTCAACACCTTCAGCCTGCGTGTGTTCCCCAATAAAATGGTAAAGAGAATAGAGCAATTAAATCTCTGTAACTTAAGATCATGCTATCATACATAAAAAATTGTACGAGACTTTGCCACCAAGCCACCTGTGTAGTAATAGGATGATTTGAAGAAAAGTACTCGAGTAATGAAAGGGGGCCTAATAAGGGCTCCGACATACATACATACAAGACTTAGCTGATTTTAAATTTCCAAATATGCGGTAACTGAAAGGAATACAAATTCGTTATCTCGGCGTGGGACGGCTGAAAACAAAAACGGTCAAGTAGGAATAGATTTATTTTCAATTTCAATATACACATAATGTTCTATCGTAAGTGTATAATATCTAGGCTATAATTCTTTAATTACAATTACTGATTAACAACGGTACACTGAATAAATATTAAAATTACAGGATTTAACTGTGATATTTATATTTTTATTACTTATTCATTTTTTACACTAATTGCTTGTTTAACAATTCATAACGGTGAGGAGAGAAACAAAACAAAAGTCTTACCGGAAGAGCCCTAACAACAAATCCTCTACCGTTCCGACGGGCTATACGGAAACGATCGATCGCTTAAACGAACAAATATTATAACAACGCTGAGCTATTGTGCTAAAACTAACGGCAGCTTGACGTCGTAGTTTCTACGGACGCTCTTCACGCGTCCGCAAGAAGCGCCACCTCAAACTGTCGGTACATAAAAATAAATAAAAGTTCGAACAGCTAGAATAAGATCCAAGCCTTGCTAGTAGCCGTAGAAAAAAAATACTGTAGAGTTCGTATGACGTAACAAACAACGGAAGTGCATTATTTTTTTGTTATATAACACACACCAAACAGGTCTTTAACCGTACAAGTAGATAGTAGATAATTGAAGTGTTTATTTATTCGTATGCAATTTTAAAATTACCTAAAGAGAACTAAAAGGTAGATTAAAAACCGTATAATATCGTTTTAAGCTTAATTGTAGCTTAGTTAAATTAGTTTTAATGGACGAAACTTAAGAAAATTTTTGACTAGGTTGCGGAAGATGACGTCGACGTCCCTTCGTTACCACTGTTTCTTCGGTGTACTTGGCATACCTGTTAGTTTTTTTGTTATTACTGTCTATCCTCCATCCATTACTTTAAATCTAAAAACAGTCCAAGTCATTTCAGCCGTTCAGCCGGCACGTGCTGGTAAATACTGCTATACAGGGCGGTCTTTAAATTTTCAAGATAAGAGCCGTCGTGTGAGCGCTATGAAGCATTTCTTACATAAATTGATGAAATTTCGTTTGTTAATGCGACTAAAATGCTTGGTGGATTCTGCGTAAAAAATTAACAGAAATAGTACAGTCATTGGAGCTTTTCACCTCCGAATTCTTTGAAACTGAACCGATCGACTTGAAATTTGGCAGGTAGTTAGAGAAAAGGTCAATGAACATTAGTGACACAGCGCCGATTGACGCTTCCACCTTGTTGGGGGTTGGCACTCCTTCTCGAGGGTGGAAATTTTTTTTTCAAAAATAACGCTGGAAATCGATAGAGAATAAAGTTTTAAGTAAAAAAATATATTCGAAGAATTTTTTCGAGAAATCAATAGTTTTTTAGTTATTCACGATTGAAAACTTGGAATTTTGAGTGAAAAAAACACTTTTTCAAAGTATTTTTCGCGAATAACTCAAAAACTACGCATTTAATTAAAAAAGTGTAATAAACAAAAATGTAGCTTATAAATAAACAAAGAAAATCGTTTTTTAAAAAGTGTTGTACGTCCTATAAAGCGAAATATGGTTATTGGAACGGGACTTATTTTGGGGGGAATACTCGAATCGATGTATTCAACATCAAATAACGGAAAAAGGATTAATTTTACGTGTATGATGTTCCTGAAGTTTGTTTGTAGTACTCAAAAAGACCTTCAAAATGAGAACTTATAAAAGTTAATTAGAGCAAAATTGAAGGAGTTATCGTCAAAAACAAATTTGTTGTTCATATTTTTTAAGCAAAAATGACCAGTAAACGCTGTACCATTTCCATCAGAATTAAAATTAATCGTAGACCCTTTACAATAAGAATTGTTTTAGTGTTTTTCATACGATCCTGAAGTTAGACCGGTTTAGAATGCGTATTTTTTTAATAATGTACGGTAAAAGTTGAAAACGTATTTTTTATTATTCAAAAAAATTGCCTTATTTATATAATAACTCTGAAACGATGAAAGATACGTAAAAAATGAAGACAACAAATTGTAGCTTATTTTTCAACAAATATTTTGCCTTTTTTTAATTTCTTTAGCATAAAAAATTTAAAGGAGGTATCGCCGCTTGAAGTATCCATTTTAGTGAAAAAACGAGCTGTCTCGAGACCTTTCCCTTTAAAAAACGAAGGACTTAAAAGGTTTTATATGCAAACGATCTTACAGCTCTTGAAATTATTTTTAAAATGCTTCTTTGTAGGATACTACAGTTTCAAAATTAACCGAGTTATGGTAAAAATACCAATGACATTTTTTTGGAGCAAAATAGGCTTTCTCATTTTTATATATTACTTATACATTATACAAATGAAATAAGTAAAAAAAATTAGTGTGATTATTTATATGCAGCGTAGCAATTTTTTTATGATCGATTATATTTAAAAATCGATTATAATAAAAATATTTTACATTAATATTGGTAAAAGGGTAGTTTATGTGAGTTGAAAATGGCAAAAGTAAAATATTCTTTCATAAACAATATAAGGGAATTTTTATTACAAATTGTAGCATTCCAAGATTTAAAACGTAATTTTTTATCATTTTTTTAGCACAGGGGTAATTTATAAGGGTTGAAAAGTGTTATGAGATACAAATTCCTTCATAAGCAATGAGGGAATTTTTATTTTAAATAATTGCACCGTTAAAGCAATCCAAGCTTTTAAAAAGTAATTTTTTATCATTCTTGGCAATACAGGGGTGGTTTTTAGGGGGTTGAAAGGGAAAAATTCTTTTATTAGCTATAAGGTAACTTTTATTTTAAATAATTGTACGATTCAATCATTCCAAATCTTTAAAAATTAATTTTTTATCATTTTTTTTTGCATAGGGGTAGTTTTTAAGGGTTAAAAAGGGTCGAAAAGATCAAATATATCATAAAACATGTTCGAGAACATGGGACATTACTTAATCTTTGTGCTTGAACACGATTTTTATCAATAAAATGCTTAAAACTTAATTTTTTCAATTTTTTTCACTTAGGGGTAGTTTTTACCCCTAAAAAACAAAAAGCGTCAAAATCCATGCAGTTTCAAAGAATTCGGAGGTTACAGCTGATTTTCAGCTTCAATGACTGTACTAATTCTAGATATAACGGCAGGTACTTAAGGACCACCCTGTATATTCCAATGTCAGTATTCTTCTATTCAGGTATTTCCCACAAAAATACAAAATACAAAAAAAATGTAAGATTTGTGCAGAAACGTTCAAGATACAGGGTGTAAATTTAAGTGGGGGTCAGTTTTTTTAATTTGAAATGTAAATATTTTTTAATTAAATAAACAGTCAAGTCATAATTCGTTTTTTAAACTACACTTATCAGTGTTACCAGATTTTAATCACCTTAAACCAACTCTATGAAACTAATGTAGCGGTAGAGAGCGAAATGACAATGGAAAAAATAAGTGTCAAACATAATAAAAAAATATTTACTAATCTAATAATTTGAAATATTTTTTACAATCGAACTTTTAATAAAAAGTATTTGCTGCTATTTTTTTTAAAGCACCGTGTTTAGTTTGTGAATCTCAGAGTCAATGATCTTTAACACTGACCGCTACACAGTATCAATCCGTCTGATGAGATATGACAACAGGGCACTAGGCAGGCAAAAAACAAAATGCCAAAAACTAATTCAGTGAAACAAGAATAGCAGAATATGCCTCCACTTCATATTATCACATTTATTGTAATTTTCGCGACTTTTGTGTGAAGTATTAGTTTTTACTGGAGTCAAAATAGAAGTTGTATAGTACGCTGTTGTGGGGAATCTTAAAAAGTGATTTATTTTAGTGTTTAGTGGCAAGGTGTGTTTGTGTCTACAATGTTTTTCTAGATACGAAAAATTTTGAGAAAAATGTTAAAAAAACTCGTTTTCACAATGAATTTGAGAAAATATGGCCCCCAATCAAAGTTATACCCTGTCTACGTACCTAGTGGCTTATATTACTAGGACTGTGAATTAATTTTAAGGGATTTACAATAGATGGCGTAACTTACGCTATATCGCATCAAATCATGTCATTATGTGTCGTTTTGCTGAAATTTTAACAAAACACCATTTGTGGGAAATTTTACTTTTCGTGTTCAAGAGCTCTAGCAAATAGGCAACTAACAATACATTTTTATAGATTTTCTTACATAGTTTGTCTAAATATGAATTAATGCACAAATAACAGACTTTTCTCCGTTCTAACATAGATTTTCTAAAAAATGGAGTTTGTTTGAAACTCAAAATACTTTTTGGTGTAAAGAAACTTGTAATATACGATGCCGCCTGTTCAGAAGCTCCAAATTACAAATTTCTTTACAATAAAAAGTAATTTGAGTCTCAAACTAACTCCGTTTTATAGAAAATCTGCCTTAGAATGGAGGAAAGTCTATTATTTGTGCATTAATTCACATTTAGACAAACTGTGTAAGAAAATCTATAAAAATGTATTGCTAGTTGCCTATTTGCTATAGAGCCATCTAAATTCAAAGAAAAGTGCTGCTGAAAGTCATCGAGAGCAGTCGGAAACTTACGGTGAACATACTCCATCGATAAAAACGTGCAAGTATTAGTTTCGATGTCTTAAAAAGTGGCAATTTTGATACAGTTGATAAAGAACACACTAGTCAACCGAAATAGTTTGAAAATGAGGAATTGGAAGTGTTACTCCATTAAGATGCATGTCAAACGCAAGACGAACGTGCTGAATCGTTGAATGTCGATCGCACGACAGTTTCCAACCGTTTAAACGCACTCGGTACAATTCAAAAGCAAGGAAAGCCGAGATATGCTGAATGGCTCTTTTTCACGGCAAAGAAGAAACGGTTTCTTACATCGTAGTCACTGTCGATGAAAAATGGATACATTACGATAATTCCAAGTGTAGAAAATCGTGGGGAATCTGTATGCTTCGGGAAAGACGGGATGGACAATACTTCGAAAGTATACAATTTTCTATAAAATGGAGTTAGTTTGAAACTCAAAATACTTTTTGGTGTAAAGAAACTTGTAATTTACGATTCCGCCTGTTCAAAAGTGCCAAATTACAAATTTCTTTACAACAAAAACTAATTTGAGTCTCGAACCAACTCCATTTTATAGAAAATCTGCTTTAGAATGGAGGAAAGTCCGTTATTTGTGCATTCATTCACATTTAGACAAACTGTGTAAGAAAATCTATAAAATTATTGCTATAGAGCCCTCTGAATTCAAAGAAAAGTGCTGTTGAAAGTCATCGAGCGTTGTCGGAAACTTACGGTGAACATACCCCATCGATAAAAACGTGCGAGTATTGGTTGCGATGTTTTAAAAAGTGACGATTTTGAAACAGTTGATAAATAATGTCCTGGTCAACCGAAATAGTTCGAAAATGAGGAATTGGAAGCTTACTCGACCAAGATGCAAGACGGACGTGCTGAATCGTTGAATGTTGATCGCACGACAGTTTCCGAACGTTTAAATGCACTCGAAACGACTCAAAAGCAAGGAAGGCCGAGATATGTTGAACAGCGATTTTTCACAGCAAAAATGAAACAGTTTTTTGCATTGTAGTCACTGTCAATGAAAAAGTGGATGCATTACGATAATTCTAAGTGTAGAAAATCGTAGGGAATCCGTATGCTTCGGGAAAGACGGGATTGACAATACTTCGAAAGTACACAATTTTATATAAAATGGAGTTAATTTGAAGCTCAAAATACTTTTTGGTGTAAAGAAACTTATGCCGCTTGTTCAAAAGTGCCAAATTACAAATTTCTTTACAACAAAAAGTAATTTGAGTCTCGAACCAACTCCATTTTATAGAAAATCTGCATTAGAATGGAGGAAAGTCTGTTATTTGTGCATTAATTCACATTTAGACAAACTGTGTAAGAAAATCTATAAAAATGTACGGCCGGTTGTCTATTTGCTATAGAGCCCTCTTAATTCAAAGAAAAGTGCTGCTGAATGTCATCGAGAGCAGTCGGAAACTTACGGTGAACATACTCCATCGATAAAAACGTGCGAGTATTGGTTGCGATGTTTTAAAAAGTGACGATTTTGAAACAGTTAATAAATAATGTCCTGGTCAACCGAAATAGTTCGAAAATGAGGAATTGGAAGCTTACTAGATATGCTGAACGGCGATTTTTCACGGCAAAAATGAAACGGTTTTTTGCATCGCAGTCACTGTCGATGAAAAATGGATGTGCTATGATAATTCTAAGCGTTGAAAATCGTGGGGTTGCGGAATCCGCATGCCGACGGAAAGACGAGAAAAAGTAGTGGCTAATGATGGACAACACTTAGAAAGTACACGATTTTTCACAGTCAAACCTTGAATTTACAAAAAAATACCTCAAAATCAATTCACAGTCCCAATAGAATACAGGATGTCTTTAATTCGTTCCAAAAAAATTTTTTAAATGATAATAATGATGTGATCTCGTGTTACATGAATTTATTCACGATCCAGGGTTAGTTCGGAGGTTCTCAAAGAAAAAAGCATTAACTGTTATCTTTTAAGAGTACATTTATTTAAAGATATCCCGATAGATCAATAAGTTCTGTCCCTGATAAAAATACTTGGCCAGCTTCCATCTGGGCCAAATTAAATACGATAAAACTACTCCTTGACCTCATCCAGTATTGCCACAAGCAAATAATACACGATATTGATTAAGCCAACTTTTAAGGGGTTAGGTACGACATCCAATAACGTTTAACGACGAATAAGGAAAAATAGGATCCTTACTCATGCTGGAATAAATCTAAAACGATATTTACAAGGTAATACGCCTTATTCGCGCTTTATAGACACAAATATTCACGCTTATATTCGCGGTACGAGCGAATATAAGCGTTTTCAAACTAGGGCTTACCGGGCGTATAGACTTTCACATCACCTTGATTAAGGGCGGCGCTCTCGCCCATCCCGTTCGCCGGCGGGGCTGGCATGGCGTATACCGGGGCGTTCTGGCCCTTCTTGGGGGACGGCTGGCTCGTGACGGGCGATCCGCCCCGCTCCTCGTCCGACCCGTCCTCCTAAAAAAATTGTAGCAATGAAAGGCGGCTCAGCAAAAAAAGACGTTAGTGAGGGAGCGAACTTCCCGCGGGACGGATGTTTACGTCTCACTTGTCACTCACTGCGGGTAGGGGTGACGTACAGGGTCTCCCGATTTGCAGGTGCACAATTAACAAAATTTTATTTTCTTTTGGTTTATTGCAATTTTTTATTCGTAAAATGCGTAAATTGTTTGTGGAAAGTAGCAAAATCTTTTTTTTTGAGATTAATTAAAAAAAATTTATGAATAAATCGCAATAAAATAACGGAACAAAAATTTCCAACACAATTTTGCAAAAATTGACATTTTAAAAAAATCGAAGCGGGTTTTAGACTCTATTTATTTAAAAACATCTGATGGCCTGTACACCTGGAATTTGGGACATCCTGTATAACGTTAAAAGTTCGTAAAACCACTTCTAACGCATTTTTACAATGTAGAAAACTTATAGAGCAGCTACTACCGATTCCGTAGCATTGAAAATAATTTTAAGATATCCAGATCGAATACGAAACGTTTCCGAGTACGTACAAGACAAAACAGAGAAAAAAAAACGATTTTAACTTTCATATTTCCATTTAATGAATTGCACGTTCTTAACATTTGTTACAATTTACAAAACGACACGTTTCACCTCGGCGTTATAGCAATCTAACTGCTTAATAGTTTAGAGGACATTTTCCTGAAAAAAAAAAAACAGAGAATGCAATCAATTTTTGATCGATAACGAAATACAGGGTGTAAATTTAAATGGAGGTCAGTCTTTTTTAGCGGTAATTGTACATATTCGCCAGAATTTAGCATTCTGATAATTTTTTTAAATAAAATAGTCGAGTAATTTCGGAAAATAGGTTAATTTTGTATGACTGCTACATTATGAAGTTTTTGCTATTTACATAAATAAAAATACTCAAGTTTTTAATAAAAAGTGTTTGTTACTATTTTTTTAAAGCACCGTGTTTAGTTTGTGAATCTCGGTGTCAATGACTCCTGATATCGACCTAATTTAGGTAAACTACATGATAACAATCCATCTGATGTGATATGACAACAGGTCGGATAAAAAAACAAACGACAATCGTTAATTCAGCGAAAGTTTATCAATTTTTGAGGCATTTGCAACTATCTGCTAAAAGTATTAGTTTTTACTGGAATCGAAAGTTATTTCTTTCGGTGTTCGGTGACGGTACGGCGTGTTTGTGTGCCTTCATCGTTAAATTTATGAATGTTATGAAAAAAGACGAGATTTGGCGGCAATGTACGCCGTAGCTCACAACTGCGTGTACGCCGTGGCTAGCACGTGGTTGTTTGAAGTTATATTAGAGGTGGAATATGAAAATTACGAAAGGTACAAAAAAAAAAGAGTTTTCAAGACAGAATTTGAGCCTCCATGTAACTATGACCCCCATTGAAAGTTACGCCCTGTATTAAGTGTAATTAGATTCCTGATTGTTTCTATAGAGATGTATCAATACTTTACAGAGATTTAATAGAATTCTTCGAAAACAAAGTAACGTTTACGTCTTATTACGTTGTCTAGTCGGCAGTGTCAACAGTGACCGATAATATTTTGCACTATTTTTTCGCACATAAAAAAAATATAAAACAAGTGTTAAATACTTCACATGTATCTTTTGAAAAGAATAATTAAAAAAGCAATGCCTTGATTCAAATTCCGACATATTCCACAGAACGCGCAAATCCGTTCTGCCGAATTGCGTATGCCCCCCCAAATATCTACAAAGTGAGACGAACGCAGGCTTATGTAACCCCAAAGCTATCGTTCAGCCATTTCATGAGCATGCACTAAGAAGAGTTCGTGGATCGCCGATGCGATCCTTCCGTTAGGAGATGACGGTTAATTTGTACATCGTGAGAAATTCTGTCATACTCACCCTCCTACCTGGCTGAGTGGTAACAGGCTGGCCCGAGCTCGGCCCTTGATCTCGCTGAAAACATCACTACATGTCAGAACCACAAAACTAAATAAAAGTTCGTTAAAATAAAAGAGAAACGGAAAAGAAACAAAACGTTTACTCTCGGAAAAGTTGGGAGAACGGGGAGGCTTTTCAATGCAAGTTTTTTAAACAAATACGTGTAACCCAACGATTTTTTTTGGGAGTAGGGCTCCCAACCGTCTCCGAAACAGTTGTTTTGCATCACGTTTTTGTAAAAAAAGCACTTCTCCAAGCACCTTTTCGTATGTCTGGATTTCTGGTATCGAAGAACATTGTTCGACTTTATTTGACAAGATTTTTTTGAAAAAATAAAAAACTGTTTGAATGAGCTTAAAAAAAATAAGTAGTAGTATTAAAAATTAAAGAATATTTATTTTTCTGCTCCACGACCATTTTTTTCATAACGGTCTTGTCAAATTGCATATTTTTAGAAATGGTCATTACTAATCAGAGGTATTGACCAATCCTAAATGGGATTTTTGGAGGGTAATTACGAATCTTTTTACATTTTTTTATTAAATTTTTCTTCAATCATCCTCAACTTTGCTATAATTTGGAAAATGTGTTATTTTTAACTACCCCAAAGTATTACGCATCTTACAATTTGGTTAGGCGAGAAAATATTTATGAAATAAGCTACAGCTACACACAAACTGTGCAAATTGTGGACACGATCGCATTGTTAAAGTCCCACCATCATAAAATCACAATGTTTTTTATCCTAAAATATCGTCAAACAAAAATCTATATTTCCCGAAATACTTAATCTACCCTGTTTATCACCGTAAGGTATTTTAAGATTAAGTAAAAGATAATTCTAAATATGACTGCTTTGTCATTAAAACAATTATTTACTAACAGATAAACAACAGATAAAAACTAGGCTCATGACTCAACAAAGAAACCAGACTATTATTTATGTATTAAATTCTTGGTAAATCCAAGTAGTAATAATTTTTTATGCAACCCATCGCCTTTTTATTTCATTTTTTTATACTTGCAAACCACCAAACTCGAGAATTATACAAATGTGGTACGAGACGATTAACAAACAAACAAAAATTCTGCTGTAGGTACGAAATTAGAGCGGTGTAAGGGGGCCACGGCTATTGCTTACCTTCTAAGGATCCCAGACGATATCCCAGTCCAAAAAGCGACATAACAAACGAAACGAAAAACAACGAAACACATGTGCAGTGAAACTACTTACCTTCTAGACGTAGGGAGAGATATCAGAGGTCATGCAAAATGAAGAAGTGTTTTTAATTGATCCAAAACAAGGCTTGGTACAGATAATCCTGAATTATCGGCAATTTAATCGATAGAGAGGAGCAATTTTGTGAAGTTACGCCAAATTAAATTTTAAAAAACCTCGTTTTAATCAGGACTATAAATCTGTTAAAAAAAAAACAAAGCCAATTAATTCTTAGGTCTATGCAGGTAATTTAAAAACGAGGAAGGCCGTACACTTCATCGTTAAACAAACAATGACTTGTCGTTCAATTTTTATACAAAATAAATTCGAACCGTACCAAACCCAACCGTTGTGATCCCAGTTTCTAAATTACCCAAGCAATAAAAGATTTCTCGCCACAAACGCTTCTTTTACCTGACCGATGAGCCTCGACGGGACCTTGGCTTAACTTTGCCGGCTCGGTGTTCGTTAAAAGATTAAAAACACTTATAGGGAGTGCAATGTGCATAGAAATGCTTGGGATGATAAACAGAGACACTGTAGGGCGTTCGACTTACGTTAAGAGTGTGATAGTCTCCGGTGTCCTCCGGTGGTCTGGGTTTGCACTTGCCGCAACAGAAGTTGCAGCAGCAGCACAGGCAGCAGCAGCAGTAGCAGCCCGTCAGTATACCACAGATGAAGAATAGTGCCTGGAATGGTAAATACGAGTTTATACGCGGAAGAAATGTTTGTCTGCGTTAAAATAGTTCATTTGAAGCGTAAAAGTAGTTCATTTGAACCAATAACTGTGTTTTATTTATCAAACAAAAAAATTAATTAAAATGGATATATAATTAGAATTAGTTGGTTATTTATATGACCTTGAATAATATCACAACTGAATTAATATTAATTTTTTGACACACATTTTTTTTAGTTTTATTAATACCTAATTGTGATTTACAAATTCGCTTAAAAAAATTTCTCAATTTACATTTCCATCCAAGTGAACTTGCACTACTCCAATATGAAAATAAAACGGTTAAATGCGACTTATCGGACGATTTCTCGCAAATGTCATCACACATAATTCGCATTTAAAAATAAACATTAAATTTAACTTCAATAGTAAACAGATTTAACAAGTTGTAGAAATGAGTGGTACTTATTATCAACTACTTAAAAAAAATATGTAAACAAATAATCCAGCTTCAATTTAGAAGTGATAAGTTTTTACACGCAGATAATAATAAATTTATAATATATACAGTGGTCTCGTTTAGACCATTTTAGGGACAACTCGAATTCTTTTATTAACCGATTTAATTTGTTTTTATAGAGAAAATCCTTCAAGCGATTTTTCTAGGACGTAAATACAAATGGAAGGCCACTTATATACATAAAAAAATGAATTTCAATGATGTTCCAAAAATAATTACCTTTACAATTTCTGAAAACGTAAACATATATTTGATTAAAATAAAAAAATACCGTACACAAAAAACTTCCTACCTTACACCAAGTAGAGGTAACGACAAAGTAAGCGTTGACGTTCTCTTCACCGAACTGCTCGGCGATGTAGAGCCCCAGGGAACCGTAATTGTCGTAGATATTCCGTTTGGTGGCGTCGCTCAGTATGGAATGGGCCCTGTTTACTTCTTTGAACTTCTCGGCGGCCTCCGGGTTGTTCGGGTTCTTGTCTGGGTGGTACTTCAGCGCCAGGCGACGGTAAGTCTTTTTTATTTCATCGCCAGTCGCCGTTTTCGGTAATGCTAAGACTTCGTACAGGGAATCACCTTGCGTTCTGCAAGAATGATAATTAACCGTATGGTCAGCACTTCATAGTCGGATAGAGACTTCGAATTTTAATACGAAGGGTATAAAATGACCTTTTCCTAGGTTTTATTTAAATATATGAGAGATTTGAATGTATGTAGGTGTGAAACTTAATTTACAAACAGTAATATACTGCAATTGCAAATAATTTCGTTCTTTGTTATAGAAATAAGATAAATTTACAATAAATGTAAACCCTGAAGCAATTTATGCCAAGGTATTGAATATTTTTGCATACTGAATTTAGATTAGATACAGGAAACTCCAGTAAAACCCCGAGATTTGATTTAAAAAACCTACAGTTACTGGGAAATGTCTTTAACCCTTAAGTCTCAAAGATATAGCCGATTGTAATTAAAAATTATTAAACTATCTGCTTAAAACTGGAAGAAAAAGGTCAAGGACATATATACGTATAAATTAATGCATTTTATATTAATCTAGGTATAATTAAGAGGAAACTGCAGAAAGATAGTACTGTTTACCTTAGATTGGTATTACATTTTATTATAAATGAATCTACATGGTAATTGAACAACACATTTAATGATTTTCTTTGCACAAGAAAAGAAATTTAAGGACTTAACATTTAATTTGTTATTGTTTAAGGAAGTAAACATTTTCCACTTATCAATCTCTAAAATATGTGGTTAACCGAAATAAATATACCTAATAGTTATGGAAAGTATGTGAGATGTGATAATTTTCGGTTTTTAATTGGCCACATAATGCAGGAAACTAGAATTATTATCAAATTAATAACTCTGTTTTCCCCACAAAGGTGTTGATATTATAATCAGGAACGTGTCCTCTTAATTGTATTTGAACGATGTGGTTTAATTCTCCTTAAACTTAAGATTATGACTGGCGAAAAATCAACTCGGATTATAAAAAAAAAGTGGCAGTGAAATGTGAGCACAAGGCACATTTCAGATAAATTAACAGCAGTTAGATTTATGTGCAATTTCTCACAGTAATCTTACAGCTAAATTATCAGTTTATCTTTATTGATGTTTGACATCGTTATTATCAAAGAGAATAAGCCGTTTTCAATTTCCAAGAAATTTGAACGTATTAAAAAGGTACGGGGTATGCGTTACAAAACACTTACGATAATTTTCTTTTGGCGTCCATTTTGTGCTAGTTTCTTGTTTAATACACATACACCGAACGGAAAACTATTTTCGCCACTTACACATAACTTTTATAAACTATCAATTACGGATCATATTTATGAAATGCCGCAAAGACCCGGACACCAAATTTTCACGCAAATGTCAATACAAAACCCAAAACGTTCGATGATCAGTGCGTCAGTGCTGCCAAATCTCTAGTAAATTACGAAATATTACTAAACATCACTAAATTTTTTGCCCACTCTATCAGTTAATATACAAGGTGTTTGAATAAAATATCGTAACCAATATGGAAATGGAGTAGTTTTCATCAACCGCAACGGAAACATGTCTTAAAAGGAAGCAATTACTGATAGTCAGTGTAATAGATACGCGAGGGCGTCGATTGCAGTGCCCCCTGGACCCTGACAGCCTACAAAATATGTGGGCAAGCATCAGGGCTTACTTTGACATATCTGATAATGAACTTATAAAATCTATGCTGAGAAAGGCATGTTGCCACTACAGTAGATTAAAATATTCTAAAAATTTTACTAGATTTGCGCTAAATTTGAAATTTCAGCTTAATGAGAAAAGAAAAAAATATGGATAGCACATTTTTTAACGTATTTTCAATTTGTGATTAGTTAAAAGTTAGAAATAATTAAAAGTTGGTAATAATTTACAGAATAAAGGGACGAAAATAAAAATCAAGGTATATGAAGCAATGGATTGTTTATTTCTATGACACAAATCATAAAACAGTCACATAAAATGAAAATTGCTTGGGTTATCGACTATGGAGAAAAATATATACAAAAATATCTCGTTTTAATAAAGCGAATGGCGACTAAAACGGTTTTATAGCCAAAGTAACATCCTGTATTGTGGCTACGGCTCTACTGCTATTATCCATTAGAATGTTATACCTACACGTAATACAAAATCATACTTTTCACGTTAAAAGTATCAACGATAAAAGCAATTAGACATGCAAAAAATAAGTCTTCCGATATATAGAAAAATAAATCTTAACTAAAAATAATTTCACAGAAATTTAATTAACCAATAAAAAAAGAGAAAAATTGATTTATACGAAAATAATCGTTTTTGATTCACTCTTTTACAAATCTCCGTCTTCTCTCTCATTGCAGCTGGACCTGTAACTCGGAAATGTCCGACATTTCCTCCCCCATCTCGTTACTGGAATCGACAGTCTCAAATTTCTCCACGAACTTCGTCTCGATGATCTCCTCGTGGTCGGTACCGTCTTGGGTGGTCGTTGCGACCGTCGTAACCGTGGAGGCGTTCACCGAATCGGTGCTGGTGTTGTTGGTAGCGGTGTCGTCGCTACTGGAAGATGTCGGATTCGGTTTTGTCCGTCCGTACTTCTCGTGGATGTTTCTGTGCCGCTTCAGCGCGAATCTAAATAACAATCGTCGAAAATCAGACCCGGACGTCGAATAAGTTAGCTGTAAAGGGGAATTATCGTTTAATGGAGAAACTCACCGATCCGAGAATCCGGCGGAGCAAATGTCGCACTTGAACGGTTTTTCGCCGGAATGCACCTTGGCGTGGTTCTTCAAGTGCGTGGCTTGATTGAAGCAGGATCCGCATATATCACATCTGGGAATCGAACAAATTTTGAAGAAAAATTAAGTACAAAAGGGTGCAATTTTTTTAATCAAATAATTCGTTTCTTGTACTGCAATTAAATTCTTGTCTATACCGTCACTGGGCAGTGCCACGAACTCGATTATATGTGCATGCATGTCAGTGATTTGATCAATATTTAACACATAACTAGCAAATAGCGAATAACTACCTGAAGTAATTAGATTGCACAGTACCAATAAATTTATAACCAACGGAGTAAACTGCATATTACGATATGGTTTAGTGAACTACATAATACCAATCCGCCTGATGTGATATGACAACAGGGTGCTAGGAAGGCAAAAAACAAACGGCCAACAATAATTTGGCAAAATGATAATAGTAGCATCTGTCATTTTATTACATATATTTTAGTTTTCCATTTGTTGGTTTACGAGAAGGTGTTTGTAAAAGTGATATCAACTTAGTTTCAACTGTTCACTGTCCACGTCAAGTGTTCAGTGTCCAGTATACAAAGTGCAGAACGAGCTGAATACTGATTACTCTTAAGTACCCGGTGAATAACGAATACTTTGTAACAAATCATTACATTTTTGACATCATTAGTTTGAAATATGACAGATAATTTAGCTACTTGCTATGCGAAATATTAGTTTTTTACACAAAATAAGGAATATTTATTGTGTATTCGTTACTTTGAGTACATACCTAGTAACAAATATTTTGTAACAAATCATTATTTTGTTGATATTGCTATTGTAGGTTATAATATGGTAGATAATTTTGCTACTTTTTTTTGTTAATATTATTTTTTACTGAAAAAGAACATATACTTTATTGACTACTCGTTACTTTGAGAAACTGATGAGTAACGAATACTTTGTAACAAATCATTACATTTTTGACATCATTAGTTTGTAATATGGTAGATAATTTAGCAACTTGCTATGCAAAATATGTTTTTTACCAAAAAAAAGGAATACTTATTGTGTATTCGTTACTTTGAGTACCTAGTAACAAATATTTTGTAACAAATCATTATTTTGTTGACATCACTAGTTTGTAATGAAGTAGATAATTTTGCTACTTTTTTTGTTAATATAAATTTTTACTGAAAATGAACATACACTTTATCGACTATTCGTTACTTTGAGAACCTGATGATTAACGAATACTTTGTAACAAATCCTTACATTTTTGACATCATTAGTTTGTAATGCGGTAGATAATTTAGCTATTTGCTATGCGAAATATTAGTTTTTTTACACAAAAGAAGGAATACTTATTGTGCATTTGTTACTTTGAGTACATAGTAACAAATATTTTGTAACAAATCATTATTTTGTTGACATTGCTGGTTTGTAATAAGGTAGATAATTTTGCTACTTTTTTTGTTAAGTATTAGTTTTTAGTGAAAAAGAACATATACTTTATTGACTACTCATTACTTTGAGAACCTGATGAGTAACGAATACTTTGTAACAAATCGTTACTCGTTTAACATCATTAATTTGTAATATGGTAGATAATTTAGCAACTTGCTGTGCGAAATTAGTTTTTTACTCAAAAGCAGGAATACTTATTGTGTATTCGTTACTTTGAGTACCTAGTAACAAATATTTTGTAACAAATCATTATTTTGTTGACACTGCTAGTTTGTAATAAGGTAAATAATTTTGCTACTTTTTTTGTTAAATATTAGTTTTTACTGAAAAATAACATATACTTTATTGACTACTTGTTACTTTGAGAAACTGATGAGTAACGAATACTTTGTAACAAATCGTTACTCGTTTGACATCACTAGTTTCTAGTACAGTAGATAATTTCATGACTTCCTGTGTGAAGTTTAGTTTTCACTTAAAAAGAAGGAATACTTTATTTATTGAGCACTCGTTAGTATAAGTACCCGATGAGTAACGAATACTTGTAAAGAATACCTGGTAAGTAAAGAATACTCTGTAATAAAACAATACTCGTTTGACATTACTAGTTTGTAATATGGTAAATAATTTCGCAACTTTCTGAGTGAAGTATTACTTTTTATTGAATAAGATGAAAACATTAATTATTGGGTAGTCGTTACTTTGAGTATCTTGTGAGTAACAAATACTTTGTAGATATTTCCCACTTTTCTGTGGAAAATATGAGTTTTTATTCAAATCGAATTAAAATTTGTGTGTTGTGTTTTATCAAGTTCAATTTGACTTATTTATTTCAGTGTTTAGTGACTGTAAGATGTGTTTGTGTGTATTCCTTGTCATTCCGTGTAATTAGAAAGATTCTAACTTACCTGTATGGTTTCTCCCCGGTGTGAATCCTGCGGTGATTCCAGAGAGTAGAATGCCTAGCGAAGGACTTATCGCAGACCTCGCATACGTAGGGCCTCTCGCCGGAGTGGATCCTCTCGTGGTTCTTCAGATGCGGCGACTGCGAAAACTGCATGCCGCACACGTTGCACCTGTAAGGCTTCTCACCGGTGTGGATTCGAGAGTGGTTCTTCAGGTAGGCCGCCTTGGCAAAGGCCAGGCCGCAGATGTTACACTTGAAGTTCTTCTCTCCCGTGTGGAGGCGTTTGTGGGACCAGAGCGACGAGTACCTACTGAACGAACCTGGAAACGAAAAACGTTTAACATTTCGACAGTAAAAAATTGTTTTTTTATTCACCGTTACAAATGTTGCAGTGGAAGGGCTTGTCGACGTTGTTCTGCTGATTTTTCGCGCCGCCTATGAAGATGATGCCGCTCCCGTTACATTTAGTGCACTTAGTTACGCTTGCTATTCCCCTTCTCTTCACCGGGTGGTTGTTTTTCACACCGATCGGAATAGAGTTCTGTGTTCCTAAAAAATGGGAGCTAGAAATAACGATCGCAATTGAAATCGCACGTTATTTTACCTAGCGCTTGCGTTTGTGTGCCGGTGCTTTCTTCGAACTTCACGGAAGTGTCGGGAGCAGTGGCCACGACGAAAATTTGGGGTTGGATCGCTTCTGCGCTCAAACAACTCTCACATTTGACCTTCATCACGGCCCGTTTCTTGTTGTTGTCTTGCGGCAACGGTGCTCCGCACGACTCGCAGTTCTTTATTTTCAACGTGTTCTGCTGCTGCTGCGGCTGCTGGGTCTGGACCTAGTTTTATTAGAAAACATGAAAATAAACAATACAGAGAGATATGAGAGTGATTTTAAATTAATGCAACAGATGTCACCACCTCCGTTATTCTCTCGAAGTGAATTACCTGTTGCTGTTGCTGCTGCTGTTGTTGCTGAGGCTGATGCGACTGAATCTTATGTGTCTTTAGATCGTTTTGGGTGTTGAAAGTCAGTCCGCATTCCTCGCAGGAAAAACGAATGCGATCCGCTGACACAATTTGAATTTGCGTCGGCTGTTGTTGTGGTTGTTGCACCTAAACGTCCATGGTATGTTACTAATTTAATCACGGTTACGTTTATTACAAAGAAAACACCCAAAATGCTTTTTTTGACTAATAAATGCATCGGAAAGCCGTTCTAGTGCCTTTTTCCTACTTACCTGCACGGTTATTTGCTGCTGTTGCGCCTGCCCTTGATCGCCCTGACCGTGATGCACTTTCTTGTGGTGGTTCAGCAGAGACAGATGGGCGAACATCAGCCCGCAGACCTCGCACTTGAACGTAATGTTGGATATGGCGTTTTGAGTCAACAGGTTCTGATTGACCAAAGTGTAATTGTAGCTGAACGGCTGAGTTATGTAGCATTTATCGTCGGTAAGCTGGGACATGTTGACGGTGGAGTTATGGGTTTGAGTGGTGTTTGGAGTGATTTTGTGTATCATGTTAACGTTGGCGTAACAGAAAGGGGAGAACGTGTCTTTCTGTTCCTGCGTCTTGTCCTTTTCATTTTGCTGGGGTTGCTGGTACTGGATCTGCGACTGTTGAGTCGTTATGGTATTTGGATCGAACATCATCGAAGCGGTTGTGGCCTACGAGAGGCGCAAGTCTTATCGAATATTAAACCTGAAATAGTTATTAACTAGAATTGAAAGTTTAAGCCCGTTTTGCTTTCTTTTATTAAAGAAAAATACCTTAATGTAGCAAACATGCTATTTCATTTACTAGAACTTAATGAATTTATCAAAAATAGTTCAATGGTTACTTCATTCATTTTGAAATACTGAAATCCGTTTTATAGAGAGAAGGCTTTGTACAATGGAGATAAATTATTGAAACCATACTTTTAAAGTGCCTAATGTCTAAAAATAATATTGTACACGGGTCAGAATATGTAGATTATATTTAAAATATTCATCGCAATGGTAACAGCATAGAAAGCCGGTTTTAAAATCGCGACACATTGTGCCCTTCCAACTCCAACAAATATGGCCCCATAACAAAACAAAAAAGAGCAAAATGTCTAATAGAAGGGTGCGGCACGAGCCTAAAAATAAAAAAAGGAACAAATATATAAAACACGACAGATGTCAATCAAATAGTAAATTTGAAAAGTCTATCTTCTCACTCAAAATTTATCTCTTTTTATAACAAAGATGCTGATAAAATGAAATGAAATAAGTATAAGTAACAAAGAAAACAGTTTACCTTCTCGTTTCACACAACGTCTTTCTTGAAAGATGCGTATCTTCATCGGCTAAAAAAACACACTTTTTCAATGTAAGCGTTTACAAATCGCAATCTTTAACATAAGAAAACAGTTGTTTCGCACTCTGCGAGTAAAAAAAACGTAAATTGTCTATCAAATTAACCAAAAATTAGGAAAAACAGTTTGTTCTATCTCACTTTAGAAAATGGCGGATAGATCCATAGCCATCTTTGTTCCCCTCGCTACTTCGTCTTGTTGCTGGGCTGAAAGGAACAAGTGCGCATGTTTCAACAAAAAGTAGAATTCATCGAATTTTACTTACATGGATAAGCAGTACATCGAATGATGCTGATTTGATAACGTGGATGACATAATTTTATGATGTTTTGTTTATTTATAGAATTTATTCGGATTATGCGTAATCTATTTTTAAACCAAATGTAATACTCTTCGGTGAAATGCTTTGCAGAATAGTTTATGATAACATCCTGCTACAGTTCCCACGAACCATAAAAAAAGCTTCAATTAAGTCTGCCCTATAAAAGCATTTTTTTCAATAAAATAAGCGATTGAAAAAAAAAATATGTCAGGTTTAGAGTCGGTATCTAGTTGATTTTCAGATAATTTAACTTTCAACTTATCACACTATTTCAAAATCTGATAATAATCAATGTTTTTTTATTTATAAAAAAAATTACTATCAAAAATCGTCTTTACCCTTCTTGAAACAACCCTGACCCTGCACACCCCTGAATTCGATGTTCGCGTCAGACGAATTTAGTGACTTTCCTAGTAATAATTCAAGTTTCCCCTAAACAGTGAAGGTTGTGTGTGTGTTGGGTTGCGATGTCGGATATAGGAAGTGGCGATGAAGGTTCAAGCTCGCAAAGTAAGTGCTTGAATTGCCAAAATTCCAACTTCTAAACAAAATGTGAACTTATAAATACCCATTAGTCGGATACGAGTCCGTCATAATAATCCGTTCTTTTTAAATTCCCCTTATAGATTTGACAACTGAACCAAAATGGCGAAGTTCAATTGTTCCTGTCGTGAAATTTTCTAATTTTTTATGAAATCGTGTCGATTTTACGGGATAAAATCGTGAATTGGTGTAGAATAATGTTAGATGATATCGCTAAGTAGTGATTTTTCCAACAAACGGCTCATTAAGTGTGTCAAATTTGCCACAAAAGATCTGCAATAAGTTAAATATTGTCATAGTCTAATAGTGACCTTGGCCAACGTCAGTTTGGTTGCCTTTTACTTTGCACGAAATGTCAGAGCACTGGAAAATGACCCTTGCGGGAAATGTTTAATGTTTTTGATCAATTTGACTAAAAATTTATTGGACGTTGCTTCTAATTTGTAATAGGATAAAAATTATGCTCAATAAACTACATTCGAGAGGTGAATTAACTTTGACAAACATTTTTTAGAATATCACCAGGGAATGGAGCAGGGAAGCGAATATGACTCGGGTAAGTCAGCTCTAACAAAAGAAAATATTCTGATTTCGAGCAAAAGTCATCACAAATTCCAAAATCTAGCATTTTTCAACAAAAAAAGTTAAGTTATGTAATTTGAAGTCTTACTGTGGCTCTCATGAATGAAGTTCCTTTGTGATGACTCATAGAATTCCAGGGAATTTATAGTAAGTTCTTTACTATAGACTTTTCATAAAAGTGATTCATGATTAGTTGAATAAAATCCTCTGCCTGTTAAGCAACATTTTTGCATATCCCATGTTTTTTGACTTGGTGAAATGGAATCTGGTGAATGGACTCTTGGCAAAATTCAGTACTGGCACGATCCTAGTGGGTACTTTTCATTCACTCACATTCTGACGATGCCAGATCATTTATTTTTAACCTATAACCGCCGACTAACCCGACAACTAACACCTAAAATATTTTATTTTTTCAGGTCAACAGGGTCAGGTTGAACAAGAACTGGCCACCAAAATGTTACAAATACAGAGTAAACGATTCTATTTAGACGTCAAACAAAACAGAAGGGGACGGTTTATTAAAGTGGCAGAGGTAAATCAATTTTGACTTACGTTTCTCTCTCAGAGCTGGTCTTTTTTTTCTGTATTTGACTAGATTGGTGCCGATGGTCGACGTTCACAAATTTTCCTCGCATTGTCGACTGCTGCCGAGTTTCGAGACCACCTCTCTGCCTTTAGCGACTTTTATTCTTCACTCGGTAAGACAGGGTAACCTCACAAATTGCTTCAATCTTACGAGTAGTTATCCGAGCGGATATTTCTGTGACGTGTTAATATGAGGTTATGAAACTATTGTTGTGTTGATGTCTTTCTAGAAATAAATGTAGAATTTTTAAAAATATAATCGAAACAGCGTAATATTTGGAAAACGTTCATTTAATAATTACTCGCAAAGGAAATCTTCGCTCTGAGGTAGCGCTCGTCGAATAAGATGAAACTCCAGCGAAATTTACGCCCCGTCTGATTGGCCCCCTTTCAGGACCACCGAATCCCGACAATGTCCCCGAAGATGGCAAGCTGAAGAGTGAGATGATGATCAAGGACAACCGGCGGTACTACCTAGACCTAAAAGAGAACTCCCGGGGGCGTTTCTTGCGGGTGTCGCAGACGATAACCAGGGGAGGGCCCAGGAGCCAGGTGGCGATCCCGGCGCAGGGCATGATCGAGTTCCGGGATGCCCTCACCGACCTGCTAGACGAATTTAGTACCGACGAGCACGCGTATAAACCCGACCTGCCCGAGGGACGGCATATGCATGTCGACAACAAGAATTTTTATTTCGATATAGGTAAGAGTGAGTCCCGATTTCAAAGTAGATTTTGTCGCGAACGGCTGGTCGGATTTTGGTGATCTTTTTTTTGAATTGCAGGTTTATTCCTTGGTAAGAATGTTATGATTGAAAAATTTATTGAATTTCAGTTTTCAGCATATTATAACGGGTGCGAGGGCAAACAAATTTTTTTCTCTGGCATTCAAACCACGCTGTAGAATCGAGTAAAGTCTTTTGCATCCTTTATTTCCTGTATTTTCTTGTTGGAAACTGAAATTTCGTTAAAAATTCTTGGGTTCATTGCTAAGAAATAAACCTACGATTTAAAAAAATAGGGTAGATGTTTGCAGGGAAATTCAACAGTCCAAAAGGGACTTTTATAAATTCGTTACACTCGAAATTTAAATTTGAGCCAAACCGTTTCGGTTTGGTTTCAATGGAGTGTGAGCATAGTCCAATAATAACAAATCTGATTAGCTGTGGTGTAAATTTTCAGAGTTAAGCTACGACGATAATTTTTTTTATTAAACGATTGCTCTCCCGCCTTTAGCTAACCTTATACGAAGTGAACTTGGTCATAATCCGGAATTTTCAAAACATCTTACAATCGTTGAAGTGCGATGAAGCTCCTGGTAAATTATTCCGTTAATTTCCCATAACGTTTGTGAAAAATCGAACCAACTAACCGGTCTTATAAATCTTTGGCCGTCGCCACGTTTTAACTTAACGGCGATTCCCTTCCAGGTCAGAATAATCGCGGTGTGTACATGCGTATCTCCGAAGTGAAAACAAATTTCCGAACAGCCATCACCGTACCTGAGAAGAGCTGGCAGCGGTTCAGGGACATCTTGAGTGATTATTGTGACAAAATCAAGCAGCCGACACAGGGTTCCAGTGGGGGCATATCTTCGCAAGATCAGCCACATCCTTTGGTGAGTCCCCTTTTGTCTTGAAGCTTAGTTTTTTCAGCGTAGCGGGTGATAATTTCGACGATCGAGGGAGCATCCGCGTTTTTTACTCGTCTCGGACGGTATTTTTTGCATCGCCGTCTTTTGGTGAACACGTAAAATCGTTTCGGAGTTAATTTGTGTCAGTTGTCAGTACTTTGATGTTTCCGACGTACGGGGTGGGTCGGATTTAACGTCGGGCCCCAACGGATGGAAAAAAATCGAATTTTATTATTCGTCTGTTTTCTTCAGTGAGATTTTTTTTTGCAAAACAATTTTCATAAAAACGACCGTTGACCGATCCTCTTGGGGCGAGGGTTTGCATAATTAACTTTTTTTTTTTTTCAGGAGGTAAAATATGAAACAAAAAATTACGGTTAATAATTTTGCATCAGTCGTAATTTTAAAATATTTCCTGAAATAACTTTTTACAGCCTTCCGGTGTAAAAACAAATATTTGAACTGTTTATCTTTAAAATTGTAGATAGCGTACGATAAGTAATAAGTGGCTATTATTGTCGTATTCCGTTAATATTGACATCATCTTTTAATTCGGGCAAAGTAAACGAACCAAAAAAAAATCCGAGTTGTCGATAAACGTGACGTTTTTATTTGTCGTCACCTTAATCCTTATGATACGTCGAAATTATCACACTGTACGCGTTTACCGATTCCTGTGTTACCTTCCGTTGATGCTATCTGTGATTTTCACGGCCTTCCCGCAGTGATGATGCCAGAGGTAGGGCGAATTTTTGTTTCTTGTTGCATGATGAGTTGGCAGAACTTTCGTTTGTAGACGGTACATATCGGAAATGTGTGTGTTTATTTGTGCTAGGCGTCCACCCGTCATCCGAGCTCGATTTTCGCGATGAAACGAAAACAAATACATTGTTTTTATTTGTACCTTGTGATGTAACTTGTTACGTTAATTCCGTCTCATGACTCAATTTTTTTTTTGTGTTTACACATGATTAAAGAATGTACGTCACTTTAGCCCAAAATGTGATAAACATAGCATATGATGTAATGCCGTGTAAAGATAAAGGGTAATGAACTTTAATGTTTGATCGGATTCGGGCTATATTTAGAAATTATGTTTTTAATTTATTAATTAAAGACCTGTTTTTGCACGTTTGTTTCCAAGATATTGCCGCGAATGTGTGCGGTGAGGAAGTTTTTTTTATTTATATACGGGATGTCCCCATTTGTAGATGCACCGGCTGTTAAAAAAAAAACAAATGGAAGTTCACATATTTTCTGTTATACTTTCAATGAGGGTCATACTTATACAGAGGCTACCTTTGACCTTTAGCAGACGCAATCATAAGTTCCTTTTCTCAAAATTTATGGTGAAAATCGAATTTTTGTGTATTTTTTTTTCAAACAACTGCACGCTAGCTTCAAACTTGTACGCAAACGGGAGCTTCGGCATACATTGCTGTCGAATCGTGTAATTTTTGATTTGTGTACATGTTTTTTTGTGTCACACAAAAATTTAACGATTCACAAGTAAAAAAAATTCAGATGCCGTGACATCGGGTTCAAAGCAGGGTTTTTTTATAAATAAAAAATTTAATTTTAATTTATTTTTACAAACACTTCGGGTAAGGGCTCACGTACAATAGAGTTTGGGTGCCGCCCAGTGACGGCGTAGACAAGAGTTTAATTATTTTACTGGGAAACTGGTATCCCCCCCCCTACTTAAAGTTACACCGTTTGTAATTTAAAACCGTTCAAACGGTGTACAATGTGGAGAAGTGTGTAGTGGGAAAAAAAAATATGTATTGGTAAATTTTTCAAAAATTGGCACAAAAAACGTTCGTGGCAGGCCTAGGATTTGCATCTTTGATTTTAAGGCCTTTTGAGAAAAAATATTAGAACGTCATTTGTTTTTTCGTTCATGTTCGTCCGTGCGACTGCAAACAGGGACACTTTGTATACAGGGTGTTTCAGAACTTATCCAAAAAAAAAATTTGGATGTACAGGAGACTTACAAATAAATTTTTACACAAAGCGAAGTGTAATAAAAAGCGGACAAAAACTTGAAAGAATTTCGCAATGAAAGAAATAAATAGAATTTTATAACACCTGTTTTATATCGGCAAATTCAACTGCTTTTGCCGCTATTATTATTATTTAATAAAATTGATTTAGGTTTTAATTAATTCAAAACAACTGTTCAAATTTTTGTTCACCGATGTGTAAACACATTTGAGCCCGTCTTAGACGGTTTCTACGAACTATCACAAATGTTGTCTTGCTTCACCATAAATTAAAATGATATCCATCAACTCGGAGTTGCTATACACATAAACCATTTTTGACACCAACTACCAAAAAACTACGGTAAATACTATCCCAATGACGTTAATACTAATTGTAAAATCGGATTTGGGTATTCGTGGTCACGTGGTTCTCCACGCGCATTACGTAAAGCGCACAACGCGAATGACTAGAGACTACAGTTCTCCAGCCATGTAATGGTGGAAAGTACTACAGCTTCAATAATTTTTTTCTCGAAAGCTAAGGATTTTACAAAAATTTTTTTTACTATATTGACTCCATACTTCATGCCGCATCTCTTCCCAAATTTTTTTGGATAAGTGGTGAACCACCCTGTATACAGAGATTAATAAATAATAAACAGCGAACAAGTTTAAGTGAAAAGTTTTGCCGGTAAATACACTTGTTGATTTTCTCACGATCCGATTTTGATGGTCTTTTTTTTTCGTTTTTTTGGTTTTTCCTCAGTGACGACGCCACGATAAGAACTTTTAATGAAAACTCAGTTTTTGACTCACATCAGAAGCAAGAGTGGTTGTTTTTTCCCTGAAATTCTAAACACTAGTGTGTATTAACTAAAACAAATGAGTATCTACTTGAATGTGCATTGCTACTATTATTAATATGAGTTTAAAAACATAAACATTACAGTACATTAAAAAAAAATCGGTGACAAAAAAACAATAAAATTGTTGAAACCAAAGAAGAAAGTCAATCAATTAAAAAACATTCTATTGTCATCCAAAATAAAAACCAAAAATGTCGAAAGAATTATTCAAGAAATTCTTGTATTTTTGCTTTTCTATTATCACCCTTGACAAAGGCTAATATTTAAAGAAAACAGTTACTACAAAGAAAAAGATCTATTTGTTTCCACATTTTATTTAGGATTGTTTCGTCTTTTCGTCCAGAATTAACAAATTTAATAGAACAAAATTATTAACACCTTTGAAATATAGTCAACGCTTCTAATAATGGTTCTCTCAACTATTTGTTGATTATGTTCTTTAATTTAACTCTATCTCGATAAATAATAACAGAGATAATGGTAAGAAAAAATCGTTTGCTTCAACCTGGTGTTCAAATTTCGGGAAATAAATTTTGTTTTTCATTGAACTCTGTATGTGCCGAAAACGGAACTTCAATGAAAATTTCCGCCCTAGCGTCATTACTGAGAAATAAAGCTTATAATTCAAAAAAAAGATTGAAATCACACGATGGGTGAGAGATCTATGATTGGTCGGTACTACGCAGTGCCTAGGAAGCATTCAACGTGACCAAACTGGCAGAGAGGAGTATTATCAGTTAAAAATTGTTTCATTTAGTGGCAACGTGGATATTTCTTAGTACATTGAGTAGCGGTGACCATTCATAGATGTAGCACTTTATATCTCACCCATACTTACGCCATGTCTTTAGTTAAGACATTCGTTGGATCGTTTATCGTCTCACCTATGTGTCTGGTGATTCTGTTGAAATGATCCAAGCTGTTTACTATAGTTTGTTCTATTTTAAGTGCAAAAACGCTCTTGGAAAAAGAGGTGTATTGACCAAATTAATTCAGATTTTTTTCTTGGAAAGCTTGCTTTCATATTTTCTTACCTCAAATTTCACAAAAACTGGTTAGCGATTTTTTTACAAGGGTGTTTCCCTTCAAAATTGGTCACTGTAGATATTGCTGGTCGGGATGTTGTAGTTATTTCCTGCAATGTCAACAGAAAACAAACTTTGAAATACTGGTTCATTTTTAGCGATGCGACGAGAGTTCTTGCTGGTTTGCGTAATTTGGATTTTTGAAAGTAACCGTAGTAGGTGCTTGTTTGCTTTTAGGCGATATATATTACGAGAGATGTTAGGTTTATAACGAGCGTTCAAATAAAAACGTGGTCAAGTTGGTTCTGAAAATTTGGACGTAGGGCGTAGCGTATAGCAAATGAACTTAAACGTCATCTGTCAAAGCGCTATATCGCCGCTATCAATTTGAATATTTTCGTTTTAAAAAGCGTTTAAAATGGTGTTTTCTCAAGAACAAAAAGTGTTTATCATAGAGTCCTACTTTAGAAATGGACGCAAGATTGATGGAATATGGAAGTATTCTATTGAGGAATGTTTCATAGAATTTCAAAATCAATTTCCCGGCGTTGTTGAGTACAAAATTTTTCAAAGTGCAGTTCAGCGTTGTGTTAATGTTTTTCGTGAAACGGGCAGTGTAACAAGAAAAGAAGGAAGCGGCCGACCTAAAAAGCGGACTGAAGAATTAAAAGAAAATGTCCAACAAATAATGGAAAATGCGCCAAGAACTTCTGTACGTGTTTTATCACAAATGGTGGGAGTATCAGTCGGTACCTGCCACACAGTGTTAAAAAAAGATTTGCGTTTGTTCTCCTATCGTTTAACTTGTCAGCAAGAACTTCATGAAGTTGATTTTCCGCGACGGGCTGTATTTTGTGAATGGTTTTTAAACAACTACGGTGAACTTCATAATATCACCTTTTTTTCTGATGAAGCCTGGTTTCATTTAAGTGGTTACGTAAACTCACAGAATATGAGAATGTGGTCTTCTGAAAAACCAGATAACTTTTTTGTCGAGGGCCCTCTACACGCTCAAAAAATTGGAGTTTGGTGTGCTCTCAATCGAAGGAGGATTTATGGACCTATTTTTTTTAATGGTACTCTTACTGCGCAAAGGTATAGAGAAGAAATTATCGCTCCTTTTGTTAACCAGCTGGAAGAAAACGAAATTACAAACTTTTACTTTCAACAAGATGGCGCAAGGGCACATACGGCAGGCGAGACGATGAATATGTTGAGGGAAGTTTTCCAAAATCGACTAATAAGTCTCAATGCTGAACATGAATTTCCACCGAGGTCATGTGATATTACGCCGTGTGATTTCTTTTTGTGGCCTTACCTTAAAAACACTATTTTTGAACTGCCTATTCCTGATTTAAACCATCTGCAGGCTCGACTTATAGACAAGATTCGTGAAATTAACAATACCCCGAGCATCTTAGAAAATGTCTTTAATTCTTTGAGGAACAGGTGTGAAAAGTGCTTGGAACAAGGAGGGGGACACTTTCAGCAGCTGCTTTAATTTATTGTTATAATAAGGAGGGGGACACTTTTCGCAGCTCCTTTAATTGTTTGTTATTGTTATCACGATTATTCTTTAAAATAAAGTTATACAGTCATTAACGTTATTGAAACTGACAGCTGCTATTCAGCTCGTTGAGAAATGAGGTTAAGTTGGTCACCATAAGCTACTCCCTACGTCCAATGTGTCAGAGCCAACTTCAACCACATTTTTATTTGAACGCTCGTTATTTTCACAGGGGTGACTGCGGGGCCCGTTTTTAAAGAGTTGTGTTATTTTCAGGTTGGCAACAACACCCCACAAGACACTGGGACAAGTTTAAAGTAGGCTAGCTGGCCATTTTAGACTATTAGATTTATTAATATAACAAATTATAAAATTGGATAGGTGCGGGAGTCGATTTTTTTAACCTATGAATTTTCTCCCTTCAATTCACGTGTGATTTTTAAATGTTTACGAGGTGGAAAGTCGACACTCGTCAAAAAAAAAACGATCAGTTCAAGGAGTTGGTTTTTTGTGCAGTGTTATGAACACTATAAATGTTAGATTCTCTATTATATGTTACAAAATAATACTAAATTATTTATTTAGTTGTTTTTTTAAGTTGTTACTACGATAGCGTGAGGACGGTTTTTTGCTTTTGGGTAAATCGTAGTCGAGGAAAAAGCATATCAAAAGACAGTCGAAACGCCGCCATCTGTTCTCAATTAAATTCGGACACTGTTGTTGTATCGAAATAAACTAGTAAAAAGATGACATCTTTGATATAATTTAGAGATAGAGATCGATTTTTTACTTTTTTTTGATACATTTTTTAGCGAGTTGTGAAACAAACACAAACTGCCATAATGTTAAGAACTGATTTCCGATTAATTCTTAACATCCGATAATATCGTGCTGGTATGCGACTTCTGGGCTGTAATTTATTCAAAAGTGTTCTTTTTTCGAGGTTTGATGGGCACCACTTTTCTCTTGTGATCTTTGAATAACATTATGACAGTATTAGATACTGTTGTAGCTCTGTGATTTTATTATTTTATCTTTATTGAAAAAGAAGCTTTATATTTTATTATTAATGTTTAAAAATCATTGTTTATACCTTTTTTCTTTTTTGTTACAGTTATAATAAAAATTTAACCCTATTTATATTAATCATTTGCTTTACCAAAAGCTTTAAGAAAAAAAAAATTCCCTATATATATATATATGTATATCGATAAATTATAATGTGTATAACCATCGTAGGGTAGGTTAGGTTCTAAAGGACCATGAAATTTTTACGTATTTGTTAATTGTCAAGATGTTTTCACTGCCAGTTAAGTGCTTAGTAAATTTTCGACAATATTTTCAAACATTTCTATTGGTTTTTTAACTAAAATTAGTGGGAGACGCCGAACCGGCGTTAGCCAACGCAAGGGAACGTACCGTATTGGATATATTCTACTTAGAGGTAGCGGTAAATGTTTTATGATTTGCCCATTGGTGAAACTCCTTAGGTATAGTCTTGAGCGGTCTCGATGTTACTGGAAAAATCAATGTATGCCGTTATATGATAACTTACACACACACACACACGACGAAGCAAGCGTTTCTGTTACAGTTACTGCGTAACCTCACTTTTAAGGTGGTGCCCCCTAGAGAGTTTAAAAAAACAAGAAACATGGAGATAGCGATTCTATTTTCACGGGTATAGCTCACAATTATAATATACATTCTATGGAAACATTGTGATTAGAGGTTTCTTTAATTTTAATGTGGTTTTTCATCAAAATTTTATATATAGTAAACAAATTACATAACGTTTTCCCCCCCCTTCACGACGACAATTTATTTTTATCCGCTATTATTAGAGATTTTTTTTATTTTTGTAGTACTAGTCAACTAAGTTTTCTTTCGAGGGGCGCTGCGGAATCCGAACGCTTCCGTTCCTTCGCTAGAAAAGCTCGTGTAGGCAATTATAAGCGGTATCTTTGAATTTTGCTAAAAGTTGTTAGACTACGCAATCTGAACCTCGTTTGTGGACTTTTATTGAAAAGCCCGGACCCAAAGGGCGGGTCGTGCCCTTCCGATCATTTCCGTACAAATTCTTGATTCTAGTACAACAAACATGGCCCGGCGGGTTTTTGGGTTCGGGATTTTTTTTGTTTCAGCTAGATCTTACGAACAAGCGTCCGGATTCCTGCCCCGATATTTCCCAAAACCTAAACTCAAAAGAGTAGCTTTTTAGTAATACAAATTATATATTATAAAAATTAATTAATGTTGCGAGATTATGTATGTACTGGAATTTTCTAATAAAAACAGAATATTGAGATTTTCCGTTCCTCTGGATTCTTTCCCGCGCGCCGGTGTCACGGGAGGTGCCCCTGGCTCGGCCCACGTTCCAATTTTTAAGGGACATATATAGGATTACGGCGAGTTTCGTTGCGGGTCAAGGGTACCTTCGTTCGGGCGGTGTTCTCTCTGCACTAACGTTACGAAAAAATCATCTCCCATAAATTTGATTTTTCACCCGAAAGAATCCAGGGGAGGTTTTAGGTAAACCCGAGAACTTTTAAAAGTACGAAACATCTGCCATCCATATAACAAAGAGCATTATGATTTGATTCTTGAGTTTGTTCGTCGATTGTACTTTTCAAAGTTTGGATCATTTAACATTATTATGGAAATACTTATATAGAAATGTGTAGAATTCTATTTATGCTTATTTGTGATAAACATAAATAGGAAATGGCTGTAAATATGTGTCAATTTGATCATTGGCGGATAACGAGATCAAAAATTATTTTTGATAACTAAATGTGATAAAACTAAAAACACTTAATAAAAAGCAATTGGTAGTAAGCATCAAGAGAAAGGAGTTTCGGAATAATTTAACAAAAGTAAAAGCCGCCGTCTTCATCGGCGACGAAGGGACACTTTGTTTCGTTTCGTATAGTCAGACACCCGTACTACTGCCTACCATTACTTTCCCGTAACGAATTGGCAACATTAGAGCCACATTGTGTTCAAATATTATAAAATTAACTGTGATAAGTTTACTCGAATTCGTTAAATTTCATTAGAAATCGTTCCAATTAAAATTTCCTTCGTTTTACTCTTCATTGGCTTCTTAACTTCCTTTGAAAATTAGAAATAATTGGTGTTATATTATTTTGTACATAAACACATATGATTGGAGATGATAAAATTGACACATATATTTATTAATATAGAATAAGGTATCGTGTTTGACATAAGAAAAAAAAATTCATTGGTAAACTAGATGTTATATTAAGTAGGAGAAGTTTCCCAGAAAATTATCTCCGCATCGATATCCCTAATCGTTTTTTTTTATCGATAATTACTTTAACACTGTTATTTTTATCAGTATTATTAAATATTGTTTACATATTTGTTATTTAGTTATCTATTTTTCTCGGATATCGGCGCGAAGGCGATTATCTAGGAAGCCACTGGTGTTTCAATAAAAAAAAATAGACGGTATGTATAGTTTGATAACAAAAATTTCACCGATCACCATGGAATTTGCAGTCTATGGACATGCTAAAACACACTTATTATTTATATATCGAAATGTTATTTTAAAAACATTTTATCAGTTACAAAAAAATAAACATTTATAAAAAACGCTGTTTATTTTATTTACCGCAAGAAAAATATTAAAAAAGTGATGTTCGCAAATAAACAAGACACAAAGTAAAACACGATAACATTGACATTTCAATGTTTGACATTGACATTTCGATGTTCGTCACCTCTTTCCGTTGTGGGGATCCCCTAACCTCACGACATTCTTATTTTTTAAAACAAAAGTAATTTATAGTACAATACAAGTCGATAAGGACATTCACTTTTTTTATAAATGGATTTTAAAGAGGATAAATAGTTTTGACCTTGGGTATGTCGGCCATGTTGAAAAGGAGTAGATTCTTTGTTCTGTGGGTCTATAAGTGGCAAATTTCTTAAATATATTCGGACTAAATCTGAAAACTGCTACAGTAACGGCAGCAATTAAATATATTCATAGTGAAACACGAATACAGATTATACATATGCCATGTTCTGAATCTAAAGTATATCGGTGATGTTTGCAAAAAACTGTTACTTCGAATTCCGTTCCAAGTGGATTTTGAGCACTGGAAACGTAAAGCCATCACAGCTGTTAGTAGAAGAAGAAGACGAACATAACCTCAACAAAAATGTCTCGAACATTGCAACGCCTGATTAAACTTGCCAACAAAAGGTTTCTCAGATCTCTTGAATGCCCAAGAAGCTTGGCCACTCAACAAACTTACGCTAAAAATGAAGAAAAAGACACTCACTTTGGATACGAAACTGTCAAAGAAAGCGAGAAGGAACAAAAAGGTAAAACATTCAACGAACTTACGAACTGAACACACTGAATATGTAACATTTCAGTGCACAAAGTGTTTGAAAACGTTGCCGCCGATTACGACATAATGAACGATGCCATGTCTTTGGGCATTCACCGCTTGTGGAAAGATTATTTCATGTGTAAACTCTCGCCTACTGATAACACAAAACTTTTGGATGTAGCCGGTGGAACAGGTAACAAGAACTTAATATACGTTAAGTAAACTAACAAATAGTAAATTTTAGGGGACATTGCGTTTAGATTCCTGCAGTACGTTCGAAACGAGGGTCACAAAAATTGTCACGTCACGGTTTGCGACATCAACACAAACATGCTCGAAGTAGGCAAAATCCGTAGTGAAAAACTCAATCATGACCCCGAAACGATTGCTTGGAAGGAGGGCAACGCTGAGAAGTTACCGTTTGAACACGATACGTTCAACGCTTACACTATCGCATTTGGTATAAGGAATTGTACTCACATAGACAAAGTATTGGAGGAGGCGTACAGGGTTCTGCAACCCGGAGGCAGGTTTATGTGCCTCGAATTTAGCCATTTAGAAAATTCTTATGCGCAATGGTAACTTTATACATTACGATTTTCGTTGGGTTTTAAAAAACTATTTTTAGGGCATACGACAGGTATAGTTTCCAAGTAATTCCCGTACTGGGACAGTTGATTGCTGGGCAATGGAAACCTTATCAGTATCTAGTTGAGAGCATCAGGCAATTTCCTAATCAGGTTAGTCCAGAAACTTTTTTTTTACTTTTTATATTGCAGCTGTATTTCGTTTCAATTCTAACACTCGTATTATCTTGATCATACTTTTTAGGAGGATTTTAAGACAATGATAGAAGAAGCAGGCTTTCGGCAGGCATCTTATGAAAACTTAACCTTAGGGGTCGTATCCATACATTCTGCGTTCAAACTTTAAGAAAAACATCAACTCGAAATAAAGTAATTTAATGGTACCTAATAAAAACTTTTTTTTATCTTAAATACATCATTAAACTAGCCTATAAATATCTCGACAACTGTAGTTGTTGGAAATTGATACGCAAAACCGGACACAACACTCGATTGGTTTCGATGACAAATTCTTAATAAATATGTACATAGTCTTAATAAAAAATGTTTTTCTTATCTTCCCCGCCCTGTCGGGGCACCCTGTTGGTTCTGCCAAGCTCCGCCCCTTCCACCTCTCACCGGTGGCGTTTGACCTCTTCCTCTTCCCCGAGCTGTTAAATACAAAAACTTTGTAAAAGACGCAACATTTGAGGTTATAGGTACAAGTGTTATTTTACCTTGATATTACTTGTGGTCTAGAACTGGTGTAACACAAACTTAATTGGAAAACCTTACCTTGCGCTCGAAGTATTGCAGATTTGCCTCTACCCGCCGTTCCTGCTTTGGTTTGTTTCTTAAACATCGGAGCATTTTTCAACATATCCGGTAGAATTAGAAACCTAATTTTCGAGCCCCTTATGTAAACGTTCTCGAGCTGTGCCACCCTTCCGTCCCTGTAGGTTACAGTTATCTGAGTCATCTGGCAATTCATATTATCCTCGGCTTCTATGAGTTTTCCTCTGTATACTTCGCCGGTGATCGTCTCACAAGTTACTATATGACCTTCAGCTTCGTGCAGAACTTTAATTGGCACCCCGATAGACATTATGAAAAGTTAGATTCACGATTTGTTTAGAGGTAACACAAAAATCACAGGTATCGAATGGATGATTGCAGATTTTTTAAATATTTTGATACGTTACTAATACGAATGTTAAGGACGCTCTGTAACTTTTTGACATCAAAACAATGATTTGACAGCAAATTACAAATACGACCAATCGGAAAGGACCTCTTTCAAAATAAAACGGAGTACGTTCCATGTGCATGTGATACTGCAATCACCTGCAATTATCATGTTTAGAATATCACAACAGGGTTAGGATTTTTTTGCGAGATACTGGAGTAAGTTTTGTTTCAAAAAAGAAAAACAATTTGTGAATGTGTGACATCGAGACTAAAACTAATTTGTTTTTTTTTTGTGTGTTGAACAAGCAACGTTAATAACCTTTTATAACTAATGTCTGGACTTGAAAATCTGTTACATTATTTCGTGTAATGATATAAAGATGTCAGCACGTGCATCATTAGGCTCCTCCCCTATTTTTTTTTCGTTAAAATGCACAGGTTACTTAATTTTAATAACCAATATTAGTCGTTCAAGTTTTGATGAATGGTCAAACGTTTCGGTGAAATAAAACGCAAGTCTGAGAAACACCAAATATATTGCTTTATAAATTCATAACACCTGAACAAATAAAGGGCACAGCTTATAAATATCAATAAAATACTAAGGAATAATTAGCTAATAAGTAAATTAAGTAGTACGATTTTTAATTTAAAAAAATAGTTCTTTGGAATCATTTAATATATCAATTTTCTTATACGGAGTATTTATTCATAGTAATACATGTCTCGCAGTTGCGATAAATAGCCAACGGGCCCCATAAATATCCTTTTATTGCTGTTTATTTGTCGCTGGTGACTTTTGAAGAAAATATACGTCTATTTTCTTAATTTTCGACGAATCACTTTCAATAAAAAGACAATTATGAATCACCGTATATATAAACTTAGATGATTTGTACTTTTCAAAGCAATTTAGATAATTTGACATAAAAGAGCTGAACGAAGAACATTGCCATCGTGAACTTCACAAAAAACATATTACTTCTTTAATATTCTCTGCATATCCTTGTTTTGCTTGGTAATTGTCATATCGGCCTTTTCGGTTTTATCCATGATACCCGTTATAAGGTCATTTTGAGATTCAATTTCACTGCCGAGCTCCGTAGCCAAGCCTTTCAATCGAGATATATTACTGCACATTTCCTGCAAATTGGCGTCCAAACGGGCACTGAAGTCTTTGCTACCGGACTGGTTTACCACCATCTGTGAGGGACTGTAGTCGTTGTCACGTAACCTAGTTGAGGGATGGTTGTCGTAACGATCGTAACTGGGCAGTTTGTCTTCCAAATTTTGAGTAGAAGCTGACTGCTGCATAAAGAAACGAATACTCATTAATTAAATATAGTAATTAGTTAAATCTTATATCCAAAGTTTTAAAATACGAATTACCTTAACCGTGCTAGGGGTAGAACTGGATGTCGTTGGGCTGGGGTCGTTCTTCCCAGACATGTAATTCTTCAGGCTACTAAACACAGACTTAATTCCATTAATATGCTTCTGGGAAAATCTAAGGGTCGCGTTGATTTCGTCCAACTGCTTGTCGGTCTTCTCCAACTTTTCCCTTTGTCTCGTTAACTCCTCTGCTGTGGCTATACCGATCTGTTCCGACTCTCGTAGAATGCTGATGCTCTTTTCAGAGCTGTTTATCGTGCGATCTTCTATGGCCTTCTTTTTTTCAGCAAACGATTGCATTTGATCGTCGAAAGTGGGTTGTTGCACGGGTCGTCTCGAGTTTCTTAGAAATGTTTGGTCGTCGATGTCGTCGTCATCGAAAGGATTCGTCGACTTTATGTAGTTGTGGCCCGACATGCCTCACTAATTATGGTTTAACTGAAATTAATGAGACGCACTAATCCTAAAAAAATTAAAACGGACAAAGGTTGTATTATTCTCTTCGTCACAAACTGATTACTGATTTCGTCTTCGTCGACCTTGTTTTTGACATTTAACAAACGTCAAGATTGTCAAGGTAAATTAAGATCTCTTCTTCTTCCTCCACGTTAACAACCATCACACCAGTAGCCACTGATACAATTTGCTCAAAGTAAAAAATACTAACTATCTTAAAACCCATAGGCCATAAGCAATTATTTTGAGACTTTAAGAAGGGAAAATATAAGATTACTGAACGTAATTGTTTATTATATACAATTAATTATAAAAAAACATGAAATAATAAAAATCTGAATATATTACAAAATCTACATATAATTTCTGTTTATAAAATATTTCTTCTGTAGATGTTCTAGTAGTGGTCCAAAGAATTCGGACTGACATTTATACCCTCTGCCTTCCGCAAGGCCTCAGTTTCCGCAGCCAGCCTAGCATGTTCCTCGGCTATCTGCTGGTACAAGGACAGATGTTTGTTCTTGGCGAACTCCACAGCTTTCGTGTCGACCGGCACGATCGCCTGATTCGAACCTTCTTGATGAGCGGTGGCGATCGCCGCGAACTTTCTCAAGTGCTTCTCTTTGGCCGCTGCCACTACAGGGGTGTCAGATGGTAGGTCTGGTACATTCTCGTTGAGGACTGGGTGGAAACCTTGTCTGTCTGCTATGTACTGCACTGTGCGGATCTTGTGACGGGGATCCACGTACGAAAATGAGCCTGCGAACATGAAAATAATAATATGTACAGTGTGATTTGGAAATGAACTGAGACAAGGCAGGTACGTATTATGGTGACTCAAAATTATTTAAAGCAAATTAGCTATATAGGGTGTTTTATATTAAAAAAATAAGACCAACGCTCTGTCTTTTTCAATTTTTGAGATACAGACGCCAAATGTTTTTCAAAATCAATTGTGTGCCATATCTTCTAAAAAAGCTATATATTCTATTGAAAAGTGTAATGCACTAAATCTGCTGTCGAATAACTTCATGACAAATTTCTAGCGCTTCAGATCAGTAATGAGGTTATGTTATTGGAATATGTAAATAATTGTGTGGCGTCGTACTAGTTTTGCATTGTTTTTACTGATTTGTTACTTACAAAAACTAATATTTATATAATATGTAACAAACCGGTACCGCTGTTGTGTCACTACAATTATGAGTGGAAAGGTGACATTTTTGAAATTTTAATGCTTCTTTGATTTGTTGGTAGAACTGATTCATGCGTCGAAAAACTTGATAAAGTCTGTAGCAGTGTAAAACCACACTGTTTACCAATAAATTCGTGAATTAAATCATGAAGAACTTCGTCAATTTATTCATGAATAAATTGTCAATGTAAAACAGCTATTACAAATTCTTGGCTTTTGCCATCAATAATTTGACAATTTAGTGTATTACACAACACATAACAATTCATTCAATGTCAAAAAAAAGGAATAATTTTTTTTTGACTATATAAGAAGAAACAAAAAAGAGCCTCCTGTGGAAAAAAAGTTGTAAGTTACCTTTTTTTAAAAATTATTCAAGTCACCCAATACGTGTACATAATTGGTTTTATAATCCCAAAGCCGGCTTTGGCTACGGCAAAACAATAGAGTAAAGCCGGTGTTGTTGTATTGACGCTAACGCTTGTAGCCAGTTTTATTTGTAAATGTCGGTTCTCTGTGGTGTATTTTGTTAAAATCGATCCCCAGGGTGCGATTTGTAACCCAAAATAAAGTCATTGCACTGTAAAGTGATTTGTTAGTGTCGCAAATGACGTGTGGGTTCGTACGGACATATTTATATATCGTGTGTTGAATATAGGACAGCAACTAACTCATACGTGCTCTAGCTCCAGTTTTCTAGTTAGCACAGCAAGGAATCTAGTTTTGGAAAGCAGTCCGTCAAATTTGAGGTGAGTAACACAGTAGAAATCATAGTTTTATTTATTTATTTATACTTTGAGCGAGGTTACTACTGCTCAATGAGGTTTGTAGTTGTTTTTTCTTTCATATGACATAAACAGTACTGCTTTGTTTGTAAAATCCAGTAGGTACCTACGTGTCAAAATAATTTTATCTGCTTTAATTGAGTACATTTCAAATATTTCGTAGTGACCCTCGTATATTTAATTATTTACAACACTGTGTTTAAATTTATCACTCCTGTGAATATCAAAGACTACGCAATATTTTTCTTAAAAGTAAAATGTTATTTTCTTAATCTGATTAAATATATTGCCTGATAAACATGTTGGTAACACCAGACAGCCCATTTTCTCTTAGAATAAATATAGTAATAAAATAATAGTGACGTAAGGGGGTAAAGTTATTTGAGGCGGTTCGAAATCGTTTAACGAGCATATTCAGGAAAGTTTCTAATATTTCTCGGATACATTACTTAGTTCATTATGTAGTAAGGCACAGAGACCGTTTCTTAAATTTATTACTATCGTAAATAATGTCTCGGGCTTATTTTTAAATATTTCATGCAGACCCATTACCATAAATTAACCAATAAGATATAGCGTTTTAAACTGTAGCTTAAGAGCAATCCGAGGGATTATAAATTTTCACTTATAACAGGATATTTCGCAATAATTAACTCCCAATTAAGAATCAGAAATTCACCAGGTAGACCAGGGCGTATCTGTCGAAATATAACTTCTTGGATGTAAGAGGGGACAAGCTAATTTTTGCTGGAATACTTTCAACTTACGTAATAAAATTATAGATCCCTAGTAGACCAGGCGGTATCTGTTTTAAAAAGGGTATACTTGGGTAAAACGCATATGATCGGAGATTTTTGCTTTAACGGCTTCTAAACAACATCAGAAATGATAATTTTTCTATGCAAATAAAAAAACGTGGGCTTAATTTTTAATGCAAAAAAGTATAAAAAATTGCAAAAAAATAATTTTTTTCTTGGATTTCTCGGCGACAACTTAGCAACTATTCATTTTAGACAAAAATGGAAAAGGAAAAAAAGTTTTGTATTTAAATTTTGATCAAGATAGAGTTAGTTGCAATTCGAAAAAATAATTATTGTTATTGCAAAAATCGGAAAAACCATTTAAAAAATTGCAAAAAATGCTAGTTTATATGTCAATTTTTTTCAGACACTTGAATAATACCTAGGATCTTCATACTTTTCCCAATTAAACTTCTTAGTGTATAGAATCATCACACCAAAATTCATCCAATTCGGTTTGATAGTTTTTACATAATAATTGTTTAAATTTTTTATATTTTTTAAATTAAAAAATTTTCAAAATCAAATTTCTAAAAATCTAAAACCTTTGAATACTTGAAAATTTCACCACAGAAAGAAGAGCTGTCAAGCTTTAAAATGATTTTTGAAAAATTAAAATCGGACGATTAGGTGAACCGTGGTGACTGTTTAAATATTGTTGCAATTTTCACACATAAACAATTGCAATAATTTAATGTTTTTTTCATTTTAAAATATGGTGTGAAAGACGAGTATTTAAAAAAAACCTGATTATCCGCCCATTATTTTCGGAGTTATAGCCCGTTAAAGTTAACCCTTATTTACACTAAAACTATAAGGGTATAAGGGCTGTTTTTTGAGTACTTTCCAGATATAAATTTTCAAAATTTGCAATCACGGGTGTCCCATTTAAAATGTGGTATCAGTGGTTGGGGGAGTAAACACACTCCGATCTGATTTCTCGAGTTCAAAACTGGGACGCTCGGAAAAACTTCACTTATCTCAGCGTCTAATGGACCAAATTCGATGATTTTTATGACCTTTTATTATTAATTATTGGACTTTTGACATGCCGATAAACAGTTACTTTAAAAAATGATTAATTTATTATGTTTATTTATTTACTATGCTAATATTCACGACCAAAATTTTTGCATGTTGCACCAGGTAATACTAGTAAGTTTGTTTAAATATTATAAAATTGTTTAAACAATAATTATTTAAATAAACAACTGAAAATTGGTATTAATTTTTAGTTGGACGATAAATTTCTAAAAATCTTAAAAAAAAAATTAAATGTGAATAATTATAATTTTAATTTTTTCGTTTACTTAACTATTTATTTCAATTTTTATTTACATTTAATCTAATCTAATTCTTTTACTAGTTGGTGATTTTTCAAATGCCTCATCAGTATTATCACAATCTATTTCGTCGTCGATTTACTCGTCCTGCGACTGCAAAATATCATTTTCTAAAATCTGATTGTCGAGTTCACTTGCACTTTCTTCTTAAAAATTATTTTGCGAAGACTATCTAACCGTTTTTAATGAAATTTGGTGTGTTGTTTTATTATACTCTAAAGTTTGTTTTACCAAAATTAGAATGCCCTCGGAGCAATTAAAATATTTTTAAATAATTTTTTTCATCAATTATTGCTATTTTGCAACATCGGTAATGAATTTAAACATTTTTAACTTACAGTATATTGTGCAAAATTCAATTCTAAAACTGTTTTCCATTTCAATATTCTCCCAAAATGCATAGATATAAGTTCCGAGATATAAGTAAAAAATTCAGATAAAATAGGTATTTTTTTCAATGTTTTAAACATTTTTGCAATGTTGAAAATGTTCCGAACCTCGCCCAGATCCAGGGATCTACACTTTTATTATGTGAGCTGTACTGAAGAAAATCCAGAAAAAAATGGCTTGCTCTGTCACATCCACCTCAAAACAGATCCGCCCTGGTCTAAGACGTCAATAACAACAAACAATAATATTTTTAACTTACCATTTTGAATAATGGTATGTAATTTTTCTTTTTACTTTACGATATATTAGAGAATGTTGCGATTGGATCGATGAATTTTTCGAAAGGTTTAATGATTTTTTGAATTTCATATTTTTCGTTGAATTAGATGCGTCTTCAATGTATATTTCGTTTAAGCAAGTTTGGTTAAATCGACACCGTTTGGGTTCTAGATTAAACGCTTGAAGTATGTAACATCCGTTAGGTGACACACTGTATAATTTAAATTTATGCTTGAACATAACCTTAGCAGGCAAAATCTAAACTGAGTTCAAAATGTATATTTGTGTTTTAGTTTTATTTTTAATTTATTAGAAACGATATAAAAGACTTTAAATGAAATGTCATTTAATGTTTGATTCCCATCTCAGTTTCTTCAAGGTCAGGTGGATATCTGCCATAAAAACACAATATTTTAGTATTTTCCCTTTCCCTTTGGCGTCTTTTTGTGGACGCTCGTGTCCTTCGTTGTAAAACACCCAGTTGGGCGTAAACGCAAAACAAATTTTAATTTGTGGGCCTATTATTAGACAGTAAATGGGCGATATATTCGCTACGTGAATACCAAAATGAAATGTTTACGGGCGAGCGGGGGAATTTGTAACAGTTGGTCCATTCGGCCGAAACTTCAGGCAGATGTAGGCGCAAAAAGGTACAAACGGGATCAAATTTAATTTAATTCCAAGGTTTTTATTCCATAATACAAACAGTTTTTCACTAAAACCATACAGAGATTAAAATATAGCGGCCCTCTGGGCAGTTTACCGTCTCAATCAATTAAGTGCAGTATTTTTACGTTGATTTTAACGGCATTTTTGTAGTGGCTACGCACTTTTTAACTGTGTCTCCGTTTCATGAACGTCACAGCTTGAGAGTTCCGTGTCCGGTGGGAGGAGGGTACTCCCTCAACTTTCGCCCCTGGGGGAGTTTAGTTTGAAAGATGACAGCTGTTTTCTGGGTTAGAGAGAC